ATACATGTCTATGTTTTAAATTTACATATAATATTTTTTGGCATTTGGATGGACATATATTTATGTATAATATGTTTATGATATAAACATACATACTAAACATACACGTTTCTTTTAGCTAGATATATATGTCAATATATGACACTGTTCCAATTTCAAACAGGTTACATATGTCATTTTTGCAAATATAGGCTATACTTTAAATACATTTTCCTTCATATCTACATATATTTCATATGTGGAAATGTAATACACGTACATATATTTCATTTGTGTATAAGGATTTCTAAATTGAGATCTCATAATTAATAAACCGTTCGGTTGACAGCATTAAAAAGTCAAACTCTTTGATTGGAGGTGTGGCAGGTTTGTTGCGTCCTTTCCAATGTTGAGTCCAAATCTATGCCCTTGTGTCCAACACACATGTGGGACATGAGAGCAGGGCAACGCGGGGCCTGATGGCCCAGAGTAACATCATGAATAAGGTGTATTTACAGGTGATTATATCAGCTAATCGGTGGATTACAGCATGTTGAGTCCACACAAGCCCCTAAGCTGTAGAGAAAAGACAGTGCAGTCCTGTGGGATTTTCTGTTTAATCTGGTCCCAGAATGCAGCGGCCCCTCCCGTTCTCACATCTGGCCTGTCAGGATTTACTGTTGTAATCCTTGATTTTAAAACAATTTTATCATGCTTTACCGCTGATACACTGGACTTTAATTATTAAAATGCAGCTTTCTATTTTAGCAATGAAGTAATTACACATCCTTGTTCTATTAGCCTCTGCTAAGTAAGTAATGAGGCTGTGCCACAGTCAGCTGGAGCCCCATCACGGCTGCAGGTCGGCTGCATCCTGCACAATATTTTCAGGTACGTGAAGACGCATAGAAAGATATCATGATAAGGCAAAAATAAGCAGCTACTTCTCAAGTGCAATTAACCAAATCTCTTTCCAATTTATGAATCCTCATTTTAAAATTTTCTAATGATTTTCACTGTTAAGAAACAGACACTTGACTTGTGTGCAAAATGTTCACACTCTGCATTTATGTCATGTGTCCTCAGCGACTTCTCCACCAGTGATCTGGTGCAAATGTACCGGTGGATGCAACTGGGGCAGCTGAGGGGTTAACACCACTTGCTGTGGCAGATGTCAAAAACCATGCTGTAAAAAATGTCCGATTAACACAAAGGGGCACTTTGGCAAATCCTGATTATAGGAGCACTTTCATTTATTAAACTCTGCCAATCCCTGTACTCTTTCTGAGCAGGGATTAAAACCAGGTAGACACCATTGTCTATCTAAACAATCCCCTCTTTAAGCTCTAGCTGTTTCCTGGTGCCCTGGCCAGGCCTGGCTGGCTGGATGGCCTGTTGGCTGGCTGGTTGCCTGCCTGTAATTTCAGTAGGGGCTTACAGGTCACTACTACCACTACACATTCCCATTCATCAACATCATCCCCTTTAGAGAGACTAGGTGATTGGATTTAGGACATGTTTTACAGGGGCAGAAAAAAAGAGAACAGCGAACTAAAGCGTGTTTACAAGCGCTGTGCTGTGAAAAGGCCCATGGACGAGTGATGGCCATATGGAATGGATAACCCTGTGAACATCTGCCCTCGATCAGTACCTTGCGCTACCATAAGACCGGTCGCTGTGACCTTCACATGGTGCACAGGAACAGTTCATCTGGCCCTTTTCTGGCCCTTTTCTGAACATCTGGCCCTTTTCCCTGAAAATAGTATTAAGCAGACAAGTAGTGACAGCAAAGTCCGTGTGCAATTTGTAAAACTCTTCATATTCATGGACCTGCTCCTTGCAACACAGTGATGATGTTAAAGACAGGTTCACTGTTGGGAACAGATCCCACCAAGTTCAAAATATATTTGTTTGATTGATGTTACAAATTCTTATGATTAAAAATAAAAGCACAGTTCTTCAGACTTTCACTTTTAACTAAACATTTAAAAGAAAATATGTAAAAATCTTTTTATTTGGAATATCGATATAAAAAAATGTTGATTCATACAACTCAACTGATACAGGATTGTTAAGGCTAATAATATATTGGTATTTGGTGGTTTGAAGAAAAAAAACTAAATATTAACCAATAATAATTTTGTAGTGAGTTATGTACTGAGCGGGATATTTTACAGTGTAAAACTCAACTCTCCTGTGGACAAACTGTGTAACAGAGACACTTTCTAAACTGCCTCAAAGTTTGACACATTGCGCTGCTGTAGCCCAAGCCCAACATGTACAGCAATTCAATATATCTGTGATAAACTAATTTCACCCTGGCCAATATACTGGTCTAGCTCTGCTAGCATAGTGAAATGAAAACTTAAGGTTTAATAGTTAAAAACATCACCTCAGGTTATTGCACCATTGCTATATCTCTCGCTGATGGAATTTTATTAAGTACATTTACTCAGATACTGCACTAAAGTAGTTTTGAGGTTCTTGTATTTTACTTGAACATTTCCTTTTTCTTCAACTTTATACTTCTTCCCAACCACATTTATTTGATAGGTTTAACAACTAGTTGTTTGATTTGTAACCCTTACAAAAAAAATCAAAAAATAAAATCAGTGTCTAGTTGTGGCCACTTGTCCCATTTCAGGTATCTATGAGTTATTAACAGCAACATTAAAAGTGATTTCCCCTGTAAATGTCTTAGTTTAATTTTAAATAAGGCGCAAATAGGCACAATTAACAGCAAACATTAGAGAAACAAATACAGTTTTGTGTTGAAGAACTTTGTTTTTGTTCTTTTCTGCTACATCAATCATCTCATATTTACCTTATGACCCTTTGGAAGCCTGACCCTTATGTTGGGAACCAATGGACTAAACTACATAATTGTATATAAAATAGATAAACTATCCGCACCTGTACCAGCTGCAGTAGTAAAATGCCGCTTACAAGCCAATGCATCAGTATAAACAATCAAATAATATCAGATATGATAATATATTGATCACAGGTGCCATTTTTATTCAGAACACATACTTTTACTTGTAATACATTAGATAATTTTTTTATGTTTGCAGGACTGGAGTATTTTTACATTTTTATAATGGTTCTTTGACTTAGGTAAAAGATCTGAATACTTCTTCCAACTCTGGTCTTTTTGAATGCCTTGACAAAATTAATCATGTCTAATCTTCTCCCTCTTTTTTTTTTTTTTTTTTCCTTCTATACAACCCTCCCCAAACAGCAGTAGCAAGGTGATAAATGTATTGCCAGCTGCTCTCTGGCATAAATTCATCCCACAAAGAAGTGGCATATGTTAGAAGATCAAATTTCTCTACCCTGATAAAAGTTGTGTTGTTTTCTAAATTGAAAGAGCATAAGGTCCCACTTTCACGCGACAATACAAACTCCTCACCTCAATAATTGTATCAGCTTATAAGAAGCTTACTGTAATTCCAATATTGTCTTCTTAGGGCAGCAGCCTAAAACATGAAATACAAATCACTCATTTCTAAATTAAATGAAAACGCATTCAAAGAGAAGCTATACTAGAGGAGGACAGAGGGATTAATATGTAAGTCCAGCACATTTAATATTTACAGCGCAATCACACAATTAATCTAACAATGTGTTCTGTGTCTAATACCTGAACTGACTGGCGGGTGGGGTGGGGGGTAGGGTGGGTTTTTTTTTTTTTTTAAACAAATTTACACCCCAAATGCAAACCATCGAATATCAGTTCTTTAACCGATAATATTCACCATGAAAAGTGAATGTAGTTCTTAGACCATCTCCATACCATAAACTAGAAAAAAAGATGAGATCATGTTCCAAAACCTGCCCTAAAGGTTGGTAAATGTATTTACTAGATACAACAAAGAAAACTGTAACAATGTTTTCATTCTGCAAAGTCTCTTGTGGGACAAATAATTGATAAGAGTCATGTCAAGGTTAGTCTGAGCACACCCTGTCCAACATGTGTTTCCCAAATACTAAATACTAGAGTACCTCCAAATATACTGCAGTACAGTACTTGAGTGAAAGCACTTAAATACTTTCCACCACTGGGTGAAGGAAAAGTGTTTTTGTCAGGTTTTTGCTTGTTATAGTTATATCAGCCTACTGCAAGATTTTTCAACAGTATTCCTCTAATAATTTCAATGGGAAAGGAAGTATTTGAATCTTTTACTGAAGTAAAAGTGGAAATAAATAAGTAAATAAGTAGAAATACTACATTCAACATTTGACTTAACTGAAAAAAGGAAATATTAGCAGCAAAATTTATGTAAAGTATCAAAACTAATGTATCATTACAATAAATTAATATTATTACATTTATAAATACTGTAAGGCTGCAGAAATAATGCAATGTAAACAACCTCTTTGTGGACTCCTGAAAGTTCTCACAGAATAGCCCCTTCCAGACCATTTCATTGTCATATATTACTTTACTGTATTACTATTATTTGTGCATTCATGTGAAAGCAGTATTTTAATGTTGCAGCTGGTTGAGGTGGAGATAATTCTAACTATTTTACATAATGTTGTCTCGTTAATATATGAACATACATCATAGTTTTAAGATCATCATATCTGCTGAGTGAAAAATATTAGTTATCATGAAGTGAAACTTGTAGCTAAAGGTGTTCAACACTTGTAAATGAGTATAAAGTACAATACTCCCAGTGAAATGTAGTTAAATATGGTAGATGGAAATACTAGAATACCTCAATACTATACTTGACTTTCCTACAGTACAAATATGTCTTTTTGAGAAGTATATGGATATGAGATGTTCACGAACACTTAAAAAAATTAGTATGAAGAGTACAGGCTTTAGACGTGGCTTAGTGCATTTTCACTGCTACTGAATGAAAAATATCGCTGGAAAAAAAAACGCAAAACAGAAACGTTTGTGCTGAAATAAACTCACATCGTGCAGCAGAGGCTGCGTGAGCTGTGTGTCTTTAAAGGGTTAACAGGAGGAGGCGCAGCAGTGGTCAGCTCGTCTGGGTGGAGTGAAGTTCAGACATGCACTATAACAAATTAGCCAAGAGGAGCGCGTTATGGCTGAGTGAGAAATACTAAGAGATCTGAAAATACATCTCATCACAAACCCATCCAGGTCGTTACAGAGACGTTTACAGACACAGAGCTGAGATGGGTGATGTGAGCGAAGAGTCGCTGCTGGATTATTTCTACTCCACCGGAGGCAACTCAGGCAGAGTCAAAAATGCAGACATACTGAAGACATTTAAGCCTTTTATTGGCCATAGTGACTTGCAGTTACGTGGTAAGTAGCGAGCCGTTCTATCGTGGATTCAGCTTGATGAGAAATATTAACCCGAAAATGGGGGGAAAGTGTGAGAGTGGTCATGCGGCATCGGCTCCAGTACTGGTCGGTACTGTCCGTGGGATGGCACAAATATCAACTGACCTCGTGTTTGCCAGCCTGTACAAATAGCCTATGATTCATTTATTAAACGCAACAGTCCCCAGCCCCGCTTTAACAAACGACTTGTATGTCCTTGCATTGTTCTCTGTTGTAAAGCAGACATCTGGTTTGCATTAAAAGCCCCTCCATAGATCTACAGTTTCAGCAGGAATTGTGTCATTTCCTCCCTCAGGCCAGTTGTAACTGAGCAGAGAGGGACCTGAATCAACCCATCAACTAAATATATGTCACACGAAGGCCCTGTGGCTCCTCAGGCAGAACCTGTGATCCCTCAGCAAAATGAGGAATGATTAAAATTTCTCTATTCCCAAACATCTTAGGCCAGGACCACTGTATTAGCTGTAAAGGGTGTTCCACTGTGTGGCTGACCTTTCTCTGCTGTTCTTCTCCACCCACAAACTGTACGTGTGCTTGTGCAATCCTGTCCTGAATCATAGCCAACACAAAAGTACTTCCCATATTTCTACTGACAAATGGTTTTGGGAGTAACTATGTATACATGTGCTTTTTTTTTTTGCAGTGCACTGTTTGTGCACCTTTGCTGGGTAGGCTACACCTTACTAAAATTGAAGCCATCAAATTAAACAATTCTGTAATAAATCACAATTTAAAGCCAGAATATGCAAGTTATTGAAAGGAGTAACACAATCTTACTGTTACAAATTAAAGGTTGTAGTTATGAGCAATTAAACATAATATTGCTTAGCTAATACACCAAGTGTTTTGCTGCTAATCTGACCATATAATGTAGCTATTGGTGGCCATGGATGGATTATGACACAACGGGCCCATGAAGAAACACAGGTTAAAGGCCCCCCAACCCCCTATATGGGACCAAGATCCCTAGATGGAAACAAAGACAAAATGACTACAAAGTCATATTGTAGCTCTTCGTCGTTTTGCAACACTGTGATCTTTTTGCAACACCGTGTGGTTGTTTTATGTCGCTTTGTGGTCTTTTTGCATCATTCGTAGTCATTTGGCATCTCTTTGTGGTTGCTTTGTGTTTCTTTATGATCATTTTGCATCACTTTGTGGTCAGTTTGTGTTTCTTTGTATTATTTAATAAAAAATTATCGTTAGCTGCAGCTCCGATGTTAGCAATCTTTAGATAGGTATTGCCATAATTGACATTACTGAGCCAGTTTGCTGACTCTTCTCTACTTGTGTCACTAAGTTTTAGCATTTTACATTTAAGTGACTTATTACAAAAGTTAATAAAAGAGTAAACACAATCAGCAGAAGACATGTTTGTTGTTTTCTGCTTGGCTGTTTTAACAGACTCAATATTGTTTGCTACAGTTTTACTTAGTCTGGTATGACCAGTTAGCTAAAGTTAGCAAATGTAAGCAAATTTAAGATAGATATTGTCATGTAGCTGAGTATATTAGCAGAACAATATTGAATTTGCTTATGAATTGCTTGTTGGTGTTTGTAACAGGCTGATTGTGTTATAACGTATTTCAAAAGGTTATGTAGCTGTAAAGTGGAATGCACAGGAATTATTGCAGGGCCTTTATTAGCCTGCATTTGCTTTAGCTAGGTGTGTCTACTGACTAATCACAGAATATTTGCTGTTTAACTGTTTAACTTTTCATTTTTTTGGCCCAGAAAACAAATAATGAGCTTGTAATGATTCATCATTGATCCTTTCAGCTGCACCTTTACCTTTGGCACTGCCTGAAATACAAACATATTTTAACCTCCCAGACTGATTATCCAAAGTGACCTTGGATTGCAGTTGCCAGCATGTACGGTCCAGATGCTATGTCAGCACTGCAGTTGTTGACAGAGGTTTATAGAGCAACCTTGATACTCATCAGCCATCTGACATGGCCGTCCAATTAGAAAAGTGCTTCCCACATATTTAAAGTCTGTCGTAGCATGTGGTTGCAGCTTTTCATGTCGTAATTGTGATGATAGCGTTTTAATCATAATTAAGTCCACATGCATGACTGGATGTGGACCTCTAATGGGCTCGCTTTTTTCATCAGATTGGAAAACTGGGGCATGGTTGGGAAGCGTAGCCGTGTTTGGGGGGATGAGGGGGTTGCGCTGCATGCACGTGTGTGTTTGTGCGAGTTGCTTGTTTTTGCAGTCCTCTGGCTAATAAATAACTAGCACATCTACAGTGCTACTCACTGTGCTAAGCAAAGAATTCTTTTGTTGAGACAGATGTAAGTGGCAGCTTCCTTTGGATTTCCTGTTGTTGTGATTGTGAGCCGAGCGGCTACCTCACTACAAATGTTCTTTCCGTGCACATCAGGAAAAGGAAACACTTCCAATTGTCCTGAGCGGCATGCCCATGTACACCTAGGCATGAATGGAATACCTACGCCTGGAAAATTGTTGTGCTTGCGTAGCTAAACTGGCTGTTTGTTAATCAGGGAGCCTACACTGAGAAACAGCTCTTAATCACACAATCTGCACACGTCTGAATATCTGCTCACTGGTGTAAACAAAGACAGAAGGCTTTATCTGATGAGCTCTATCGACTCGTCAGCTGTACCTTGTTTGGTTCCCATAGGAAAGATTTAACGTGACTCAGGTTTTTATCTTTGGGGATGCACTAAGATCGGTTTGTGTCTTTGCTCACACTGGAGGGGATCCTTTTTTCTCTCTCCTTAGCTCTTCTTGCAGTGGCTTTTTTGTTTAAGCAACTGTTTTCCTGCAATGTGAGCTACATCTAGCTTGGTCAGCCGAGTGTATGCTAGAGCACACTTTGTTCCTCTTCCTGCCTCATCTATCCTCACATGAAGAAATACAAACCAGCAGCTCATCCAGCAGACTGTCACTCACAAACCACACATCTACAGTATTGTAAACAGGCACTAATACGGTTCATTCAAAAGTAGTCAGAGCCCTGCATCTTTTCACACTTTGTTATGTTGCAGCCTCATGCTAAAATTAAAAAATATATGATTTTTTTTCCTCATTAATCTACAACCAATACCCCACAATGACAGAAAGACAACATGTATGGTTTCCTTCAGACATGACATTTAGAAATAAGGTCAAACAGTCCAATCTTGGTTTCATCAGAGCAGAGAATCTTGTTTCTCACAATCTCTGTGTCCTTTAGCTGTTTTTTTTTGCAAACTTTCACTGAGGAGAGGCTTCGTCTGGGCACACAGGATCTCTGGAGCTCAGCCAGAGTGACCATCACGTTCTTGGTCACCTCCCTTAACAAGGCCCTTTCCCTTAATTGCTCAGTATGGCCAGGCGATCAGCTGTACTCCAATCAAGGTGTAGAAACATCTCAAAGATGATCAAGAGAATTGGGAGGCACCTGAGCTAAATTTCAAGTGTCTGAATACTTATGTCAATGTGATATTTCAATTATGTTTTCACTTTTTCATTATGGGTGTTTATATAGTTTAGATTGATGAGGGAATTCTTTTAGTTTTATTTTTTGCATAATGTGCAACATAATAAAAACTGAAGGGGTCTGAAGACTTTCCGAATACATTGTACATTCTAGCCGTGTCTCTATCTGGAAATACTTCATGTGTTTCTCTCACTTCTTGTACTTTGTGCTCTTTTATCCCTGTCTATGTCTGTCACCCACTTAAACCAGCTGAGCTGAGTGTGTTCCATTTCTTTTTGCCCTAGATTGACAATGTGGGTACTGGACCCTCTCATGTCAAAGTGTTACAGTATGTGAGCTATTAAAAGCTATATTTCGTTTTCAGTTTCTCATGTCAAATATTTTTCCCTGCAGCTAAATACAGAGAGGAGTTCAAGCTCATCATTGACCGGATCGCTGTGGTGAAGTCAGAGAATGTGAGTAAGCTATTAAAATATTTTTACCTTTTGTGGGAAAAGCTCTGCTCCCATGTTTTCTCTATTTATATTTTCTGCACTGAGGCATAACAACACAACTGTTTTACTATGAGCAATGGTGGTTTCAGTTTAACTATCATGACATAATAACAAGTCATCCGATCTCTTTTTCTGCAGAACTGGTTTCCCCCAAGGGAGTGCAGCTGCTGTTTTCATTTTCCTTGAAACTATCTTTATGAAAGATTTTCACATTCTGACACTACCACAGAATGTTACTGCCAAACTAATCTCTCCAGATTCAGTTGAGTTATTATGTGTGGACTGGTTTTTAGTTTTGAAATTGTTTCAGTCTTTTATTAAAGGAATAGTTTGACATTTTGAGAAATTATGCTTTTATTTGCTTTCTTGCATTAGATCAGAAGATCTCTGCCACTCTCATATCTGTCTACAAACTCCTAGTTTAGCTTAGCACAAAGACTTGCTAAATATAATCTTCCTACCAGTACCAGTAACGCAACACATCTGATTTGTTAAAATCATAAAACACCAATTTGTTGTTTTACATTTGTGTTTGTGTACAAATGTAAAACTCTGTGCTGTAACAGCCCTGCGGGATCCTCACATTATTACAATGACCTTCAGGATGACGATGGATTGCACTAAGAATTACAGCAATATACCAATGAAAGAAGACTGCTACCTAGCACACATTCATTTAAAAAATGCAGGATATAAATACTTGAAATATCAGCTTTGCAAATGGTTTATGAGAGAGGAAATGCATTCTATACATTTGTCAGACTTCCAAGGATAAAAAAAAAAAAACGGGACATAAAGATATGAGAGTCATCTTCTCATGTAAATACCGACAAGACATGTCCACCTTGCTTCTAGTCTTTGTGGTAAGCTAAGCTAAGCTAATTAGCTCCAGGCTGTAGCTTCACACTTTAAAGATAGATATTAGAGTCGCATCAATCTACTTGTCAAACTATTTCTTTGAATGGGCATTAAGTTGAGATTTTTTTTTTTATTTCTGCATAAAAACATTGATAGTTGACTAAATCACATATACAAGATGTTAATAATAAGAGATCTACAAATTTTACATTACATGAACCATTTAAAAGGTAATTATTACTTGAAAATGTAAATGGGGCCAGGTTTATTAGTTTGTAATCCACTGATGCAAGAAACTAGTTTATGCAATTAACCTGATGTGACATCTGAATAACTGGATTCAAAGGGCATTAGACATGTGAGGTACTGCTGTCGCTTTAAAATAAAGAGATATAATTCACATTCCTGGATAAATGCATAAAAAAAAACAACACAGTTACTCTGATGACTTCTAGTGTGCAGCATGCAAATAACGCAACAACATTCAGACTTTTTTCTGCTTCTCTAAGGCATACTGTGCTTTCTGACTGTCGCAGGGTGAGAAGTACCTCGTCCTAAAGAAGAAATACAGGCAGTTGCTGCAGGAGCGCGACAACAAACATCAAGGTACAGACAGGGATGGACAGAAACATTTGAGCCCAGCCAGGACAATGGCCACTGCACAGTGGGATGCAACGGACGCCTCGACGACGACGACGACGACGACTTCTCTTCCCCACCACAAGGAACAACAGGATGAGCTGATGTCATGTGGGGAGCCCGAGGGTGCTGCAGAGGTGAATATGAAATCAACTTGTTTTTCTATTTTCTTTGTAAAAAATGAAAATAAACTGTGGGGAGAGCTGGGATGATTCAGCAACAACACTGGATGCTGAAATGCAACTCTGTGAATGTGCCACGGCCCCAGGACACCATGTTTACTCTTCATGTGAGTGACGCGTTTATCTCTATACAAGACCGTCTTTGTTGGTGTACACTGGTGCCTTTTCTCTCCGAGCATGTGTCAGCATTTAATGATGGCCCTGTGGCGTAGACATTTACACAGAACAACACTGTGGAACAGAAAAAAAAGAAAAAGCTCTTTTGCTTGGGCAAATCTAAGTTAGCCGCTCAGAGAAGAAAGGGAAGGTCAAAGGGCTTATGTCTTTACACAAAAGGCAGATATGTGTAAAACTAATGCATTAAAGCACTTGACTGTTGTGAAAATAAACACTATGCGCCGGTTTAATGCACAGTAATCCTCTAGAAGTACTTTTACATATTGTTCCTGCAATAAAACACGAGCATTTAACCATAAGATTTGAAAGATTAACATGTTTCATGCCGCCGGTTTAACGTCCTCACACATGATTTGTTCAAACAGACTCTAAAGTAAACATTATCTATCCACACCCAGATGGTGGAGGGAAAGAAAAGAGGCTGTTGACCTCAGCCAGCACTTGACACAGCTGAATGTTTGGCCTGTGAACATTCAGAGCAGAGAAAGTCTGAGTTTATAGCCCATGATGTCTGTGCTCCTGTAGGACCAGCAGACAGCAGCAGTCACCGTGCAGCACACTCCTCTGCAGCCTCCCATCATCCGAATCCATGTACCCTCAGTGCAAAGCAGCGCGGAGGATGAGCTGGACAAAGATTCAGGGTCAAAGGTGACAATTTGCCTGACTGAGAGGCAAAGTTTAAATATGGGCTTGTACCTGCTGGTGTGGAGCAGCAACACTGTCGCTTTTTGCTCACCTGCGTGAAGTTAATTCTGCTTACAGCCAATTACCAGCAAATGTACATTTGAGAGATCGCATATAAGTCTTGAACTTGATTTTCTGAGCAAACAAGGCTGAAATATGACGCTGCTGCTTGTTGCCGCTTGTTGCTGTAATTAATTGACAGTTGACCACAGAAAAATAATCTGGTATCATTTTGGTAATCAATGAATCCATTTTCTAAGATAAAATATCAACAATTAATTGGTTCAATCTTCTGGAATGTGAATAATCTTTTATCCTTCTATGATAGTAAATTAAATGTCTTTAAGTTTTGGTTTATTCAAGGCATCACCTTGTGCTAATTGAGAAAATAATCGTCAGATTTGTTCATAAGGAAAATAATTGGTAGTTTCAGGCAGAGTTAGGTTTAGCTGGATAGGTGTAGAATATGAGATTAGACTTTGTCTCAAAGGCTTCTGTCTGTAATTGTTGTGTCAGTAATATGAATTCAAACATGACCAAACCAACTGAAAAAGAAAAGAGAAAGAGAACAAGACTAAACAGTTCTAGGAGTCCTGTGTCTTGTCTAAAAAAAAAAATTATTCCAACAACTTGCAGTGTTGAGTAATATCCACTTCAAAATCCATTTTAAAGAACACATTTGGAGTGTGACGTAGATGAGGAGGTACTTGAGGACTGTGGAGGCACATCAGACAAACAGCCTACTGTAATATTCAGTTATTAAACCACCAGGCTTTTATTCCAGGCAGGATCTAGAGTCTGTGGAACAGTAGTTAAGACCATCTAATGAACAAACTGATGCTTGTAAATTAACATCAAAACTCACACTTACAGAAAACACTCACTCACTCACTTCACCCATAAAAGCTGCTGATGAATGACCTTTCACTCTGAACTAGATGAATATTCTCTGCGGGTGACTTTTAGGGGTTTCGCGATATACTGGTATTGTTGATAACAATGTTATTAAATTGAATTGATGAAAACTATGATATTTAAAAACTGAAACATTGATATTGTGTTCCTAATATACATATGATAATATCGTGATGGCAGATGTTCGGCCTTGTGGTTCAATTGTTTATCAGTTCATCTGGTTGCCTTTCCACTGCCCGTTAAGTGTAATTGCTCTTTTTGTCCAGTTATAGTTACAGGCTCTCGCTCAACCTCCCTACACTCTTGTATTTGAGTCTAATTCATAATCATCATTGTGGCTTTTCTTTGTCATATATCACAGTAATGTGAATATCTTTGGGTTTTGGAGATTTGAAGATGTCACCTTAGCCTCTGATGTCAAACTTTAATGTTTCATAAGAGTAATTGATTAATCTAAAAAAAAAAAAAAAGAAAAGAACCTGCATATTAATTAATAATGAAAATAATGGTTAGTTGCAGCCCTTAATACAACATGTTATTCTGAAATGGATCATTCAGCAAAATGAGTCATTTTACTTTTGGTACTTTAAGTATATTACGATGGACTGTTACTTGTATCAGAGCGTTTCTACACTGTGGTATTGCTACTTTTACTTAAGTGAAAGATTTGAGAACTTCTACCATCACTGATGGAGAAAACACTGACTTTGTGCTCAGTACCTACTCTCCAGTGGTTCCTCTGTCACCCACCAGGTGGTGCTAAGTAAATTACCTGGATCTGTAAGCAACAGTATGTTGAATTTGAGTGTGTGGGGGGGGGTCACCCCCCCCATGGGGGACATATGGTGGGGGGGTCAGAATCTGCATTTAAATTAAGTGCTCTGTTATTATGTTAAGCAGCAACATGTTGGAACTCATTAGAAAGATAATAATCATTTGTGCCCATTAAAGAGATTGAGATTCATCCCAGAGAAAGGTATGCAGCTTTCCTTGATGGCCGGCGCAACAGACAGATGAAATATGCTGGCGTGTGTTAATGTAGCACTGCAATGAGATTAACGGTGTTTGCTTAAGGTATTAGTCACACCAGTGAACTCTGTATTCAGGACACCTAGTGATGACAGTTGTTTCGTATCACAGGAGCTACCTGGATGCTTTGTAGTGTTACATTATTAACCAGAACACCTGAGGCTGTAAACTAGTTTGCCAAAGCTGGATAGGAAATGTCGTTAATAATATCGTTAATGCTCCCAAACGAAGGATCATTATCTGGGGCAGATACATCCTGGTTCCTTCAATTTAAATATACGTTTATCAGGGGGAGGGAGTTGTCTTTCACTGGTATCTGACTTTTGTGGTTTTGGGTGAAACAACTACACAGGAATTTTCCATGAAAGTTTTTACAGGCATTCACGTTCTCCTCAGGATGAACTATAATAACTCTGATGATTCTTTAAACTCGCATCTAACACCATCCTTTAGATCAAAAATTTCAGTTTACTACCTGCCAAACTGACTTTCCCATGAGCATCAGCAAATGTAGCAAATGCTAACAAAACTAAGATGGTGAACATGAACATTTTGCAATTAAATATCAGCATGTTAGCATTATCATTATTAGTGTGACTAAAGCATTTAGCTCACAGCGCTGCTGTGCTTTAGTGCAGCCACAGAGCTCATAGCATGGCTGTAGACTCTTAATCTTGTTTAGTTATCTAATTATTATTTAACCTCTGTGTACTTGTGGTCATCTGACTTCCCCTTTCACTCTGAGAATGCTCTTGAAATTAGTGAACCCTGTTACTGTGTTAATAATCAGTTAGTCGATTTACTTAAGATTTAAAATAATCAATCAATGCAACTATTTTGATAATTAATTAATCCTTCAGGTCGTTTATGAGGCAAAGAAAGCCAAAAAAGAATCACTAGTTCCAGCTTCGTTGTCTTTTTTCCGTCATGTGGGTTTGGGATTGTTGGTCAGACATGACCAAGATGTCACTTTGAGTTCTGGAAAATTGTGACAAGCTATTTTTCAGTATTTTCTGAAATGTCAAAGACTAGATAAATATTTGAGAAAATAATCAGATAAATAAATTGGGAAAATAATAGTTGCAGCCATAAAAAGCAAATTAAAATGTCTATGAAACAACACAAAGTGCTGAGAGGGTATTTCCTGGAATTCCTGTCCCCCTTGTTCAGTCTTTCCCTTCATGCCCGACATGCCCCATTTTTTTCTGCCAGTTATTATTGGTCTGCACCAAAAGTGTCAGAGTGGAAGCTGGATAAATACAATCCCTCCACTTTTCATGTTCAGCACGCTGACATGTGACAGTTTGTTCAAGAGACATGAAAGGGCTGAGTGTTTTAACATCATGTCTCTGGATGATCTGAGAACAATTTGCAATCAGGTTCTCCTCAAAAGAGGCAAGAAAGAAGAAACAAACTCTCCCCTCTAACATAAATCAGCCAAAGTGACACTTTTATACACTCCTACAAGGCTGTGCTCATTATGTTTGGAGTTTTCCTCTCGACCCCTTCAGACTAAAATGATGAGGAAAGCACATGGCCTGACTGTAGGCACGTTGTTTTTTGGTTAATTGTTAATTGGATTGTTATTCATTACCCCTTATGTGTGAAAGTGTCACCTCTGCCTCGCTGTCTCATTACCTCTCTCTATCTGTCTGACACCCTTTAGTCACGTCTTGTCAGCTGGAAAACATCACAGCAGTGTGTGTACCCTGTGATGTTGGATCATGCTGAGTGAGCATTATGACCGATACGGTGCAGTTAACTTGTGTCACAGTCACAGTTCGGCTTCTTGTCACCACTGAGCAACAAGTCGGTCTCCTGTTTTGTGTCTTTCAGTCCGAGTCGGAGCAGGACGAGGAGTGTACGGGCAGCATGGGCTCTGCTGCTGTCGCCGTAAGTCCTTTTCCTGTCTTTTCCTGTGGTTCTCCTGTGGCTTTAGAGACAGCTTTAAGAAAAGCCAAAATCAGAAGTTCAAGTATTAACTGTTGGAAGTCTGTGCAGCGTCATCATGGGTGTCTCCCACAATGTGTCAGTTGGTTGTGACTCAGTGGTTTGTAGGAAATGGATTAGAGGTTTGTAGCTTCAGCACTATCAAAAGAGCACACAACAGGATGTGGATGGTAGGATGTGTGTGTGTGTGTGTGTGTGTGTGTGTGTGTGTGTGTGCCTGTCTGCCCCCCCCCCCCCATTCTCTCTGTACTAGCTGGATCCTATAGAAAAGGAGTGGATCTACTCTGCTGCTGGCGCTCGAGTCCCTGACCTCTCTCAGCTGCTCAGACAGGACCCCTCGTTGGCGAATAAGAAGGTAGCTCTGCGTCTTAAAGGAGAATTCAACTTTATTACAAATACTGTTTTTCATATTTATGGCCATGTGCTAATAATAACATCTGGGAACATGGCGATATTGCTACCACAAAGTATGATGGGGCAAGAAGCTTTAACACCCAGGTTAGCCAAACTTATTTATGAGAAGAAAAATAAAGACTATTAAAAAAAACTAAATAGCAATGCTTTATCACTGTTTAACATGCTCAAAATAAAAGTTATGATGAAGTTATGAAAATTTAGAAAATCCCTTCAAGGATACAGTATCTTCAATACCAGACTTCTTTTAACTTCTGTATTACACTGTCGCTCAAAAATATGTTTTATGTAAATCATTAATTACGTTGAGTCACACAACTTTAAAATACAAAGAACAATACAACACTGTGTTGATGTTCTTCAGTGTGTGAAAACTGTGTTGCCTATGTCTTCAATCTAATTTTCCTAATCGTCACTGGTGTTCAGATGTGATGGAAAAGTAAACAGACGTTTAAAGTACGTACTTAAGTTCCTTTGGCTCCACAGTCCCTGGAACTATTTGGTCAACAAGGGTTAAAACCTGATCTGATCGTCTCACTGCTCGGTCTCTTGTCTCGTCAGACTTTGTTGTAGAAATGTTGCATGTGTTCCCAATGTGATCAAAACTGACAGCGCCAATAATCAAAACAACACAAATCAGACATGAGGTGTCAAAAACCGTCCCAGGAAGGACATTACCAACACCCGCTACCTCTCCACAGCCACAGAGATATTGTAAAGGACTGTTCACACCCTGTTTGACCTGTCGCCCTCTAGCAGGCGCTACAGGTCGTTCAAAACTCCGTCCACTAGACTTAATGAACCGTTTCTTTCCTGAAACCATTTGCACTCTTAATCAACACAATCATGCAAAATGAAATACACTACTGGTAGAACATTCATCATCCCTGTGCAATTTCCCCAATAAAATCTACATGTGCCTTAATCACTGAGACACTTTATATTTATCTATTTATATTAATGTGTCTGGAGCTTTTCACTTTTAATTGTTTTTAACTAATGCACCAACCATCTATTCTCTTCTGTTATCCTTAAACGCATCACAAATACTAAGTAAAAAAAAAATCTTTTTTAATAAAAACTATTTCATGTGATTGAAATCATAATTAATTTGTTTTTTGTTTTTTTTATCTTCTCCTGGGGGCTCAAACCAGGACTTCACCTCGGTGAGTATTTGATATGGCACAGACTGTATGTAACTGTAATTATATGTAGTTATTATTAAGTCATTGTGTTGGACATTGTCTGTGATTTGTGTCTGATTTAAAGCCTCTTATTTTCTCATTCTGATGCTGCTGACTGTGACCATGACCGTCCTGTTAGGGGGTAAGTTTCATCATTCATACCTCTATCTGCACCTTGTGTGTAATAAAACTTAGATTATCAGAATGGAAGTTTATTTACCACTTTGGTAACAACAAACCGTATTTCGGATCTGTGATTCTTGATTTATCAACTGATTCCTCGCTCTCAGACCTGCGCTTTGCTTGTGTAACTTTCACAAGCTCATTCTGTCGAGATTTTCCCTTTAATAGTATTCTGAGAACCCTGTGTTAAAACATCCAGATCATGCATTTCAAAGGTCCACTATCAAAAGGATTATGAAAGATAGCTTTTTAGCTCCTGTGCCCCCCTGACAACCCAAATCCTTTTATTTGTCTCCCTGTGCGCTTAAGAGATTTGAGCTCATGTTTGTTGTCCCTCCCCTGTGTCACAGTTCTCACACTGTCCTGTGGCCATGGCAGACCACCTTCTAAGAGTGGCCCTAAGCCTCTGCCATCCCCACCCGGACAAGATAGCATGGCCGCCATTGAAGTGTAGGGAGATTGGGAAGGGGAGGGGGGGATTAAGGAGACTCTTAATGCCCCACAAAGACTTCACCCACTTAAAGATAATCTGAAAGTAATAGAGCAGGCTGGGATTAATTGTAGAACAATGCTGGTTGTGTCCCTGGGAAGGTGCTAAGTCTCCCTCAGGCCTCTTTGATGTTCCCCTTTAGCCTTCAGCCTTTCCCTGTTCAGCATGTTCAGCAGAGGTGGATGCCTTTCCACAGATAACGCACAGAGATACCTTCAATCAAAAAAAAAAGAAAAAGAAAAAGTTACAAGACTAACCAGGAGTCATTATATTTGATCTAGATTTGTCATGTTCTGACTTTGAGCTAAGTGTACCAAACACCAGGCTCTAAGTCACATGTTTGGCCGGGACTGAAGGGATTACTCTTCATCCTGGGAGGACTTAAGTGTTTCCTGTTCTCACCAAATGTTTGTCGGGATCAGGTGGTTTTATAGATATGATCTTCAAACAGTGGTTTAAAAGGTTGAAGTCAGAACACCTATATTTCACCTAAGGCAAATGGTCCTCGCTCCAAAGTCTCACTCTGTTTTTCTCTTCCTGCTCTCCTCCTCGTGACGTGGGCCTCCATCCCTGCTGTGACGGACTTCCTCTGCCACACAGTTTGTAAGTACATCATTAGCCCATCACTCCTCTCTCTGTCTTTCCTTCACATCCATGGCAGTGGTCAGTGTCTCCTGGTGATCTGAGCCCTCTCTAGCCGCCACTTGCCTCACATGGAGGGGACACAGCCGTCCCCCCTGAGTGATCGGGCAGGTGGGGGGTCATCCCGGTGGGTAGAAACAGAAACGAGAGGAGGCGCAGGAAGGGAAGACGCCGCATCCTGTTCAGCCTCGTCCATCACTCCTGTCTGCGGGGAGACCCGCCGAGCCGCCCGTCAAACAGCCCTCTGGCCAATCTGTCTTCAGATGTGACAGGGGACAGACAAAAGAGATGGAGATACTCCAGCCAGACAGCATCTATCACAATCTGTCCCCCAGACGCCTGACGTAGAGAGATGTAGCTTCCTCAGTGCCCTCAGTGGATTCAAGCAGATATTTTTTTTTCTTGCCAGCTGTGGGACAGGCCTGTTGTACTACGATTAGCGTCATAGCACCTAAGCACAAACAGACTTATGTCCTGTTCAAGCAGTGCGAGAGTCCCAGTTTGTTTCTCCCTTTTATTATCATTATACTCAAGTCACAGAGCTAAGCATTCATTTCTCTGTAAAATAAATGCCTGGTCATGTTATTACAGCTGTTCTGAGGGGATTTCCAAATCCTCAAAGACCTGTTGTTTTAAGCTGTGACTGTACTTCCTATCCAGGTATCCAGAAATTAAATATCTCTTTGCTTATTTAGTATGAAAATATAAAATAATAGAGAGTAACACTGATATAGGCAAACATAACATATATGTGTTATATAAATTCAGCAAAGACATATGTCTTGTCATGCTTCCATCTTTGTTCTGATTAGGAAATACCCTTACATATATGGAAATGCATAAAAAAAACTAACACAATCAATCGTGCAGCAAACAGAACATTTTTTCATGTTAGAAGAGTCTGTGCGGATTTAGGAGACACCTTGAGAAAACTGTTATGTGTTATGTTCCTTCTGGGCTTTTCAACTACCGCCAGGTATTTATTTTTCTGACAAAGGGATGCTTTGAAGCTCTGTGACTCAACAGCAGCAGAAACTGTCTAATTTATATAAAATCTTCCAGATGGTAAATGTGTCAGCAAACACTCAGCAGGTATTGTCTCAGCTCGCCGTGTCATCAAACAGCTTTGCTGGTGGAGCTGATCGTTTTTAGCGCTAACAACACATTGCAGATCACATAGGTGGCCGAGCTAAAGTCTCAAGGTGACTCCACTGAGTCAACAAACTTCTGGTTCATGGACAGTGAACAAACTTCATTTATATTTACATTATCTGAGCAAAGAATTATTTTTGATCCATCCACAGCAAGTTAATGTTTTAACTTGTTGAGGTAGAGCTAGTTTTAATATTAATTATAAACTTAATAAAATGAGGAATGTTTTTAATGTAAAAGCTTTATCTGCAAAGTAACAACTATCAAATAAATAAATAAATTTAGTGTAAAAAGTCCAATATTTCCATCTGAACTGTGGTAGAATAGTAGAGTAGAAGAGTAGAGTAGAAAGAGAAAAGAAAATGGAAATAAGCAGAAGTAGCTCAAAATTGTGTATAGGTACAGCAAATGTACTTGGTTGGTTACATTTCATCACTGAATCTTACTTAAAATGAACTTGTTCCTTAATGGAACCTGCATTTTACAAAGAAATCATTGTATAAATGCATTTAAGTTCCATATTACTGCTGCTGGGTGAAAACCTCCATCTCCATCTCGTTTAATCTTGCTCTTTAAAGCCCTCCCCCCCCAAGCTGTGTAGTTAACAGAAGTTATAAGCTTTTCATCTATCCAATGTTAATATGTAGTTGTGGGGTCAACCTCAGAAGGGACGCATGCGGTTACTTAGCCAACATCTGCACCGACGCTCAGCTTTCACCTGTTGATAACACATAATTATGCAGCTTAAAGTGTGTAGGAAAAACAGGAGATCACAGTTCTGGTCAAACAGGTGGATGTGGTTTGCATTTGCATGTGACTCGAGTTTTCTGCTTCATGCACGTGTCTATTATTTTAACATCTACGCACACTTGGAGGATCTTAGCATGTGAACATGTGGGTGTATCTCTGAGAGGGAGGGGGGAGGGGGGTTGTTTCCCTCCTTGACGTGTGCTGACAGTAGTGCGGTGATGTCTGGGTGGGTCTCCCCTCTGCGGGTCACACTAACATCATCAATCTTCCCCCTGGTGACAGGCGGCCAGGCCCCCTGACTGTGGGCACAGTGCTGTGTTGTTTTGTAATTAGGCTCCGTTAGATGGCAGGAAACCTTCTCTCCATCCCTCTTTCTCACCATCCCTCCATCCGTCCACTCCCCTCTGTGCGCAGCTGGCCCTCCGCCCTCGCACAGCCAATAAGACGCTGCACTGCTCAGCTTAGACAACTTGTAATGATGCTACATCAATTACCACGGCCGATAACTGTAGTGGATACTTTATGAATAACTCTCTCTTTGTTCCACACAGACAGCTCTGCACTGGGCTGCCAAACATGGCAACCAGGACATGGCCACTCTGGTGATGAATGCTGGTGCTGACGTCAACACCAAATCAGTGAGTTTTTTTTTTTTTTTTCTTTGCTACACAAGGATTTTGAAGGGGCACTCCAGTGATGCACTTATTCAGTTTCTTGCCAAGAGTTAGATGAGAAGATTGATGCCTCTCATGTCTCCCTCTCATTTTTTTTTCTCACTCCAGCTGTTTAGTATTGCACATCAATAAATCAGGGGGACTTGTGCAAAACAAAATCGAAGCAGTGGAGGCCAAAAATATCCTGACTTTTAGTGCCCGATTATCCTACTTTCAGCATCTTTCAGACTTGACATGACGTCCAGACTGGTGTCTGTTCTACTACCTCCTGTAACTCACTGCTAATGGTCATTCAGTATGTCTTAAATGTCTTTCTGGGGAAAAAATGTGGGGTCCATTTCATACATACACAGCTAATTTAATTTTTCAAGTTTGAAGCCAGTGAGAGAGAGAAAAGGAGAAAAATGAGGGAGGAAGGGGGAGGCACTGTTCAGTCTCCTCCTGCTCTCTGTGGTCGTCTGTACTGTGTTTTAATGCACAACACAGTTGTTCTCATTTACATATGTTTCCATTTCTCTTATCAAACAACAACAACAACAACACACGAGAACTCAGTAGTCATCACTACATTATTACCATAGTACTCAGTCCACACCCATCGTCAAACTCAGTCACGTAACTTTGCAGGTGTGACACAATCCCACTGACAAAGATCTGTCAAAAAGTTTTCATATTCAAATACAGCCAAAGAGCATCTGTTACTGCCACTAAATGAGCTGCTGTATTTATTTGGTTAAAACAACACTGGACTATATTATAAATATTATAAATGTGGCCGCTGATGAACAGATGCTCCACTTCTGAAACGTTTCCTGTTTACATTGAAACCATGACGGAGCCAGATTGCAGCCAGAGCACGGAACCATCACATGCTCTGTACATTTGGTGTTGAGACAAATCAGCATCCACTACAGCAACTGCTATTACAAATGTATCATGTATAAATTCCTCTGTGAGAACAAAATTAGTTAATTAATACAGTTACTAATAGACTTTAGAAAGCTGCCTCCGGAGCCACGAGTCTTAACTTAGTGTGTGAAATCAGTGGAGTGCCCCTTTAAGCCTACGTTGCATTTAGCATTTTTTGTGACACCAACATACACCGATTTATTCTTGGTATGCTTCTTCCTTGCAGCATGTGAGTATCCAGGCTTTTGCCAGTGTCGGTGACGGGTATGTACAGTATCTGTCTTAATCTCAATGGTCAAACAACAGGACAACAACATGGCTGCCGGTTCCTTTCTGTTGTGGCCCTCAGTGATGTAATGTTCCCTAAATGATCTCTATGAAGATCCAGCTGTGCAAATGTATTACAGCAGCACGTGTTGTCGGGCCGCAGGAGTGCTCCGCTAATAAATCATGTCATGTCACGTTAATTGTTTCCCAAAACAGTGCGTCTATGTGCCAGCATGCACAACTCCAAAACTATGCAATTTTCAGTGAATTACCAAGCAATTATGTTTTTATCATTATCTGGTGTTTCCATAACCTTTGCTAATTTGTATACTTTTTTTCTCCATGCTGTTTTCATTGGCTGCCTTTGGGTCTGGGAAACTCTAGGGGGTAGGTACTAAAGCCTTTCAGCACTTTGCCACAGTTACTCACCTCAACACAACACAAAGTTTTGTGTTGAGGTGAGTTTTAAACTGCTAAGTCTTTTTTGTGTCAATGAAGTGTTGAAAGTGTGTTTGCATCACAAGTGTCCCTGAAAAGTATTTCAGAATACACATTTTTCAATTTTCTGTATGCATGTTTCCTTTTGTCTTCCTCGTTTTTGTTCTGCAGGGGTACACACCTTTACACATTGCAGCGTTACACGGTCATCAACATATTCTCGACCTGCTCATAGGGACATATGGTAAAAACTGCTTTCATTTAAACTGTTGGTTACAGAGATAATACCTCCATTTACTGTAGGAGTGAGTGAGAGACATGATTTTTACTTTACAGCAGGTTTCAATCTCATGTAGTTATTTTTGTTTACCTTTGGATGATGAGTTTTTTTCCTCACAGCTTTCGGTGTTAGGTGCCAGAGAGGTAGCTCAGAGATTTAATTTTACTCTTATCAGGTGCCAAAGAAAACTTGAGGGACTACAGCGGCCATCTTGCCTGCCATTACCTAAACATCAAAGAGACAGAGGGTCTAGAGGAAGAGTGCGAGCTGCGTGAGTGCCTCATTCTTCTGCTGCTGAATTATAAATGATTTAATGAATGACCATCAGTTTTATTAATGCAACAGTATATAAGGAGAGCACTGTGGCTTTTGCATGACAAGTTAGATAAAGTCTTTGAATTGTGTTGTCTTTGTAATAACTGAAGAAAAGGCTAATTAAAACACAAAATAAGTGTTTTTTTTCTTTGAAGTAATAGTTCAGCATTTTGGAAAATGTTATTTATTTTCTGGGTGAAAGATGAGAATAGATAAATGAGAAGATCAATACCACTCATGTCTGTATGTCAAATACAATGACAAGTACAAAGTTACCGTCAACTTAGTTTATCTTAGTTTAGCTTAGCGTCAAGACTGGATACAGCGGGAAAAAGCTGGCCTGTCCAAAGGTTCAGAATCCACCTACCAGTCTAAAAAACAACAACAAAAAAAGCATATTCCTGGAGATTCCAGGAAGTTACTGCTCTCAGCCAAGAAGTAGTTCAGCCCCCTGTAAAACTACAACTTGTCGTTTTTTGCAGACAAACAAATGCATAATTATTGAGCTTTATAGGTGCTAGTAACTTTGGATAGAGCCAGGCTAGCAGTTTCCCCCTGCTTCCAGTCTGCTGCTGGCTGTAGCTTCATTTTTACTGCAGACATTCTCATCTCATCTCATCTCATCTCTCTCTTCTCATCAGAGCCTCCCAACATTTCAGTTTTGCTATCTATAATATAAAAACTGCTTTCTCAAAACTGCTCCGATCGCAGACAGAATCTTGCAGCTTCAAGGTAACTAGAGGTTAATGTGTGAATTATGTTTTTCCCTAAAATCAATCAACATATTTTTCTTGTGGTCCCAGAGTTTCAAGTCACTCAGGCCAGGGAGCGGAACAGGAACAGGAAGCTGGTATCGTTGTTCCACTCCAAGAAGAAGTGGGGCTCAGCAGAGGAGCTGGCTCCAATAGAGGAGGAGAGGACGGCGTCACATCAGCTCGTCCTTCCTCCGTTCAGACCCAGAAAATTCTCCCGCTGAGGAAGAACAGACGCCAGGGACCATTTCTGACTTATACTATATTGACACTTAATGTAAACACCCCCGTATATACCATGGAAGTATTAATACTGTATGTGTATATTTATTATGTACACACACACACACACACCTACACTCATTCCATTCATACACACAATCGCACATGCTTGCTGACGCACCTGAAAGCTCCACGTACTGAATACAGATGCTTTAACTTGAATTGGAAGTGTTGCAGGTGATGCTATGCTTATACATGTATTATCAATAGTTATGCTCACCATAGAAGTGTTTCTCAAAGCCTTTTTAATAACTGTTGCTAAATGTGACGTATGCCTTACAACTTCAAATGAGCTCACAGGGATTCTTTAATCTCGCCTTTGCCTTTGCGTTAAAGTGAGCAGTGCCCAGATCATCTACGTTCATGTTTACTCTCGAGGAGCTGGAGGATAAAGCTGGTGATATTCTATATTTGTGTTACTGTCTACAGATACCATGAAAAGATAAAAAAAAAAAAAAAAAAGATCTCTCCAATGATGTCTCAAAATGAGTCACAAATATGTTGGGCACTGTAGTTTTTAGTAAACAGGAGTAAATTGTGGATTTGCTGGGGCCTGTTTTTAGCCACACTTGGCGTTGTGATGTTGTAGTGAGTATTTACAGCAACAGGACAGTGTATGCGGCATTAACTCAAATTAAACTAGAGTCCATGTTCATCGTAACGGAGAGACAAGTCTCCCAGTGCAACAGTATGGCTCACTAATGTTGTTTAGATAAAGGAGCACTAATAAAATATATCAGACATTGGATATAGAGTTGATACTTGGTAAAAGGGTTGATTCATTGTTGGGTTAGTTTTTTTTTTCTCGTAGATATATAATATCACCAGACCTCTCCTTTAAAGGATCATACTGGTGGGTTTGTATGTTGTGGCCCAATAAAAAAAAAAAGAAAAAATCATGTGCACTTAACATTCTGTCAAAACCATTTTCCAAAATGTATCATTAGTACTTCAATTAATTTCCTAGATTCTACACAGACACTAATTTCGATTAATATGCCAATATAGTATTTAAATCAATCTACAGAGACATTCCAGTGATCCATTTTGGTGAAAATTTGGTATTAATTATGTAATCGATTAATTATTTTGCGAATCAAAATTACACTGTCATCTAATGGCAACTTTTAAAAAAGTCTTCCTTGTTGATGCATTCAAATGCTACCAGGAAACTGCAACATCTGAGACTGAGACTTGAGATACAGCTGCTTAACTTCACAGATTCCTTTCCTTTTTTTAACCAAATGTGTGTTTGTTTATTGTTTGTTGTGGGTTTCTGAGCGGGGATGCAGGGCTCTTTGGCAGAGAAGTTAACTTTATAAATAAGTAAGCCCATGAAGGCACCAGCAAGGAACCCAACTTACAACTGAATTATTATGACAAGCAACAGAGTTATAATTGATAAAGTAATCGACAAATAAATGTGAAATCTTTGCTGTGATTAATTAGCTATTTCAAGCAAGGTTTCATGTACAATGAAGGTGCTCAGTCTCATACGAGTTTATTTTCATTCTGTTTTTGGAAAGTTGAAAATCTTGATTCTAAAAAGTGACATTATACTTTGAAAATGGTTAGCACTGGTGTAAAGTGTTTGTGATTAGTTAATGGGCTTAAACATATAAAACCATCGGTGTGTCTTTAAATCTAGGCCACTGAGACATTCCACAAAAAAAGGATGCATGTTTTTAATCAGCATTTCAAACATTACTACAAGGCTGGATCATGTTATGTTTTATGCCAATTAGCAGTTAGCATGTCTGTCATATCACTTTTGGTTATTGACAGGTTGTAATGGTTTTTTTGTTCGTCTGATTCAAGACTCATCTGCTGATTTTCAATAACTTAAGCTTTTGACTGATGTTTCTGCTGCCGCAGATGCAGCTCTGTTACCGAGTTACAGTTCCCTTGAAAACTGATTGTATTTTATTTTGTATACTAAACCCAGTGAATCTGAGTGTTATTTTAAACCTTTGCAAATCGACGTTTGCACTGTTCCAGTGTGAATCTATGTCTTCTGGTTTATTCTGCCAGTTTGTTTAAAAGGGCTTTTGTATTGTTCATTATTTTCATATGTTGTGGACGATGCCAATTATGTAATCTAAAGAACCAGCCTCCATTACATCTTTTGCACAATATTTATATAATGAAGATATTTTGGTATTAAACTGTATTTTATATCAAACTCTTCACCTGTAGTTTTTGCAGCTTGAGCTGTTGTGCGTCTACTTCACTGAATTATCTACATCAAACTCCCATCTCTGGACTGAGTGTCTCGGCTGCTCACACCGCAGCTTCTCCTTACACCAAACAGAGAAGAAGAACAACTTGCGTTGATTCTTTTTTTCCTCTGTTGCTATAGAATAACCAGAGTTTTTTAAGCTGCCTTTGATCTTTCTTTAACTACCTGACTTTGTGGGCTACAGATGGAGTAAATATGGGCCCTGCTAACTCTCCATACGGCTTTAGACCTTAATTCCTGATTAGCTGAAAAGGGCAGCACTTGCTTTTGGGTCTTGGATATCACACAACACAGAGGGGAACACAGGCAAGTGTTTTTGTGCTTCATTTTTGAAGCGGGGATGTTGGGGGGATAAGAGGGAGTTTCTGTAATAGATACTTATCTTACTGCCCTCAAGCCCCTCAAACAAAGTCCCCCTCTGAAGAGATTATAACCCAGGGAGGGCACATTAACTCTAATCCGATGCTTTGAGGCCTTGCACCCCCATACCACCCTCTGCCCCACTTATTTCAACCCTTCTGTTGTTGGGGGGCTACCTTGTATCTAGTGCATGTATGAGTAGGGCCTGTGGCTACACACGAGGGTTTTGTGTGTGTGTGTGTGTGTGTGTGTGTGTGTGTGTGTGTGTGTGCGCGCGCACACGCGCACTCATGTATGTGTTTGTGTGTGAGTCAGGGTGGGTGGAGCGACTGTTTCAATAGCACGCTGACTCTAATGAAAAGCATTGAGGGGTGCATACTGCTGTGTAACTGATTCCTCTCTCTGAAGAGATTAGGCGCTACATTGTTGGTTCGGTTGCTCATTTCCATGAGAGCACAGCCTCCCACCAGCGGCTGCTTGGCTTTGTTATTTTGAGTTGGAAAACACAGAGCCCAATGTCCCTGGCTTCCTTGTTACCATTGTTTCACAAATAGGCCAAAATGTAGATGTCACGTCACAGATGCCCAATAACCTCATTAGCTACTCTCTGTGAGGCTATAGAGAGAAAATAATAGACGCATGAACTTCAGTTTGTTCCGTTTCTGCAGCGCATTCAGATAACACTACTCTTAAACTTGAATTTTTTAATTGAAATATATTAAGATAAATTCAAGGATTTTTCATTAATGCGCTTAATGAAAACAGACCCTGTGTCACTATTACACTTAGAAATAACTGAGGTCAAAATGGCATCCGTACCTTTATTATACTTTTAGATATATATATATAAAATGCAGGATGAACTGTGCTATCAGTGGTAATGACATAAAAAGGCAAAACTTTGTTTTAAGTCCCCATATTTAGCACTCAAAAACAGTATAACAACTTTTCATAAATGCTTTATGACAGACTAGAACGTGGTTATGAGCAGAAATCTGTGCGTATTAATGTATTTGTATACCATAATATAGAAAAACAGTTACAATAAAGTCAAATATATCTCCATAGGAGAAGATACTGTATATTAATAAAAAACAAAGTGTCTGTGTAGCTGCATTCAACTGCACTATAGTGTGTTATAAACCATTTATGAAATGATTGTGTATCCTAAATAAAGGGACTTAAAGTGAAATGTTACTGGTAAGAAATTGAATCGCATTAAAAGATAAATGTAATGTAAATGTAAAGCAGCTTCTCTTTGCCACTGTTACACTCCAGAAATGGCAACATCCTGCTCAGGGAAAAACAACATCCCTGAAACTTGCTACAGAGATGGAGAAGAGATAAGTGAGCAGTGAGATAGTGACGACGATAAGGTTTTTAAATTGTGTTAGGAAGATGCATGTAATAATGTTCCATTAAAGTTTTCTGTCTTTGCTACTCACTCAGAATTAACCCTACATCAGCATCCTGGGCAGGAAAAACGTGCACAAGAAACTTTGAACTGAGGTGGAAAAACAGGCTCGATCAAGATAATAACATTATTAAAAACCTGAACTTCATTAGAAAGATACATGTCAAATTAATGTTATTCATGTGGCCCAATATCACAAATCATACAGCCTCAGGGGGCTTCACAATCGGTACAGTATATAACATCCTCTGTCCTTAGACCATCAGAGAGGGAAAACCTCTCCAAACAAAGGACAGAAAAAAATGAGTCAAAACTTCGTTCTCGATAATAAAAGAAAATAAAGCCCCCCCCCCCTTTGCCACTGTCACTCTCAGAGATAATCCTGATGGCAGCTTCCTGAGGAGGAATAAACGGGTTTTGTTGCTCTGCACATGTTCAGCAGAAACCTGCAGTTGAGGTGAAGAACCAGGGAGCAGCAACCTAACAAGCTCATCTGCAACAACGATCACACCGGGGAGCAGCTCTGACCGGGCTCCAGCAAACTGGGCCAGGCCTCTAGCTGAGGGATCCTGGGGTCCCTAGCACCCACCCACTGGGACCCGACACAGGGCAACACCAGCAGCACCAGCAGGAGCAGCAGCAGCTGTCACACCGGCCATCACGGCCCTCACCAACGCCGCCTGTCACTCACCCAGCGGAGGGCCGTCAATCAGGCTGCACCCAGGAGGGAGCTGGGAGGCGGGCCACTGCCCGGCCCTAAACAAAGACATACTTACATTTGCAAGCGGTTTCAGCGCCACTACTATTTTGAAAGAATGATAGAGTGGTCCAGATAAGAGTAATGACAAAGGACAAAGAGGGGAAGGGGGTCTGGGAAGAGGGGGTCTGATAGTAAAGAGGTGGGATCGCTTGATAACATTCACACTTTGCTTACATCTCTCCATTTGTGTTGGTGCCCCAGGAAAATCCCATTAGGGAGGAAAATTGGAGATCTGCTTGGAGACCATTATACATTGGTTGTCCATTGACACTATGTAGATTTTTTTTTGTTGCCTCTATGTAAAATACTATAAATAAAAAAAAAAATATTCAAAATGCACAACTTTCATCTTTTCATTCAGCCGTCTATAATTATCTCCCCTCCTCCAGTCTCTGTCGGCTTTCTCCTCTTTCAGTATCAAGTGCTGTAAAAATAAACTAACAAGCAATAGGTGTCGGAGATTCTGTGGATTCTCTTTAGGCTTTTGTCGTCTTGTTCACACCTACCTTTGAACTATTCTAATTGCATGTTTAATCCCTTTGTCGGCTCGCAGGTAGGGGATGGCCTGCAATTGAGGTCACACCTAAACCTATTGTCCTGACCCACTCATTAGCTGCCATTACACCATCATTCTGCATTTTTTACCCCAAACTGGAGTTATGATGTTCTGCATTCAGAGGATTTATAGATAGAGGAATCTATAAAAGTGCAGTTTCAACACAGAGGAATGGCTCAGGTGTTATCAGGGATAAAGAGAATTTCATCCTCTTTGCTATCTCGTGTTATAGCCTCTGGGTGCTGAGGACAATCATCTTCCATTTGGTCACTTTTTTCTCTCCTGTAAACGACTGACATCCTAATAGCAAACAGCGCAAAAAAAAAACAAACAACAAAAAACCAAGACCTGTCAGAGCAAGACCAACACCTGCATTGTGCTGTAGCTGCCGAAAGAGGAAGAGAATGAAAAGGAGTTCTACAAGAGGGACAAAAGCAGCTGCCCTGAGCTGTTTGTGTTGTGAGATGTAGACTACTGATGCCATAAGCCGCCTTCTCTTTGCACTCCAGTCGATCCATTGTTGCTCTTGTACAAATTTGCTTTAGGCTCTGTGGACCCCACCCAAATAAATTCCTCCTTTCCCTCCACCTTCACCACTTTTTATCTGTGGATACCCCCAGCAAGTCTCTCTCTTTACATTTGGGCCAATGATTACACTAGTCTACCCGCAATTATGCAACAAAATATTAGAACCACCTCAAATGATGGCACACGACTATGAGGATACAGTAAGAGAAACAATACAGGTTAATCAATATATTATTTGGTCTATAAAATGACCAAAAAAATAATGTATAAAAATGTCAATCACAACTTCACACAGCCTCAAAGTAAGTGACATATTCAAATGCCTTTTTTGTTTGACCAAAAGTCCAGAAGACCATTATCATTATTATTATATATGATGATCAGAAGCAGAACTGAGAAGCTGGAAAACAAGTGAAATGATTATTTGATTATCAAAAAAGTTGCTAATCACTTTCTGCCGATCGCCTAATCAACAAATCATCTCATCTGTAGCCAGCAGCATTTCCTCCAGAAGCACTGCTAGAGACTCTGACACTGCATTTCAAATATACAACAGTCTTCACACCCATAAAAAAAATTAAAAAAACACTTCTGGTTATGATTGATGGTAATTCAAAATAAAATTGAAAATAGACAAATACTTCAAGGAGATCAGTTCTCCATAATCTAACATATTGTTTAGGGTTTTTTTGTGCCCTTTTACTTCAGTTAGTTCAGAAGGTGACGTGGCTTTGTTGTTGGAAAGAACAGAAATCTATTAATTAACAGCGAGGGAGGAAGTATTCAGATAAGTAAAAGTATGTAGAAATGCTCCGTTACAAGTAAAAGTCCTGTATTCATAGTATGTACTTAGTTACATTCCACCACAACTCATTCATTTTTTTCAACCTGGTAATTAATTAACTAAATTGTTATCCGCACAAGTCTCAAAGCTAAGATCAAGGATTTCTGCAGAAAGACCAAAATTAATTGGAGACATTGCATTCCCAGATCTGTTTATTGATCTACTTTTTTGTCTGTGTCTCATCCACTGTTCTACAGCTTACCCTCAGATACATTAAAGTACTTGTGTGTGTCTTTCAAAATATAGTTCAACATCTCCACAAACTAATCCTCAAAATGACACAATGACTCAGAATAAAGTTCAATTCAACACCTCTGAAAAACAAAACCTGAACATCATAACTGTCATGAGGCAGGATTTATTACAGGACTATTGTATTAGACTGCATAGGTGTTCCTAATAGCATAAATTTGACGCAACAAGGGAATCAATACATTAAATTACAAAGTTAATTTATTTTTTCCTATTCTATTTGAAAGCTCAATTCTTTCTCAACTGTTTAAAATATTTTGAAAAATGTAAACAAACTACTGTAACTGGTATAAAGTATATAAAGTCAGATTTTCTTTTTTTCCTTAGAGTGCAGTTGAAACACATCTCAGACCAGAGTCAGCTGTTCAAATGGATAGGGTTCATCAAGAGCTCATTAAGAAAAAGTAAAAATGGTATTGAAGCTGAGTGAAAGGACTTATTGAGTAAATAAAAAACATCTATCATGAGCTACAGAGGCTTACAGATCACAGCATTTTAAATAAAAAGTGGACATGTGGAATCAAAGAAGCAAAATCAATCAATCCTGAAACTTTAGAAAGGATCATCAGTTTAAAATGAGAAGATTTTAAATGCGGCATTTAAAAAAAAAAAAAAAAAAAAAAAAAAAAAAAAGGGGGTTTGTATAAGTCCTGCATGTCTGGACACTTCTTTAATACCCCCCCCCCACATTATCTCTCAACAAAAGCACCACTGCTATCACCACCAGCACTACACCTCTTAACACTGTTAATAAAATAATCAAAATGATGAGAGATAAGAGAGGTGCGCTCCTCTGAGCTTAACTGTGGCTCTTTTGAAGGACATGGGGGGGGGGGGGGGAGTGGAATAAGAAGTGTAGTCTTCCCCTCTTATCTCTAGCAACCCCCCTCCACACACACGTATTAGCATCTGTTATCTCACAATTATCATATACATTAGTCAACACCTGTTTCGCTTAACCTCGTTTAATTAGGGCCATTGAAACGTTGCCCTTCACTCTAAACAATGCCATCCGACATGTTTAAGGGCAGTTTGTTATGGTTCGGTCAATGAATTAACAAATAAAAAGGTATGGCTCCGAGGCTGAATGACAACTGTTATATGCTTTATTCGTGTTATTAATTAGTTTGACTTAATGAAAGAGCTCGTGAAAATGGAAAAAAATCTTTCTTGGCAACACTTTTAGGTGTGCGTAAAAAAGAAAAAAAAAGTTTTTCTCTTTTGTTTATTAGCGTCATTTAATGTTCTTGAGGTGGTTAATTCAATTCACAAACGCGCAGATCTGGAGGTGATGAAGCATCAGAAGCGACAGTAGAGACTGGCAGGATGTTGTTAACTGAATTCGGGTGGTTTTCTAATCTCTCCGCCGATGAGTGTCATGGTTATAAAAATCAGATCAGACTGGTTTAAGCGTGGAAATAAAACAAAAAAAATATATATTTTTTTTTAAATCATAAAAATGGAAAAAATTAGAGGCTAACTCTATAAACGATGCTTGGTCTTAAATTTTGCAAAGTTTCATCCTGCTGTTTATGAGCTTTTAAATTGAAAAAAAGTTTCGTTTCAAAATTAACGAATAGAATAAATGATACAAACCTAAAGGCTATTTTTCATGAGACGTTTTGTTTGTTACATGGGACTGATGGTTTGGTCTGTGAGTCTTTATTCACTTCACCAAAAGAAAAGGCTGCATTTGAATTGCAACTTCAGTCCTCTGCAGAAATCACTGTGTTGCGATAAGTAGCACATATTTAGCCTCTTCACGAAAACGCTAAAAGGAACAGCGGAGGGCTTCTTTGATGGGATTTATTGCCAGTGAAAGCTGTAGGTCTTTTGAACATAGCTGTCAGTCAATACCAGTGGGACACCCCCCTTCCCTCCTTTGCTCCCTCCTCTCCCCTCCCTCCCTCCCTCCCTCCTCCTACCCCTGCACACACACACACACACTCTGGCAGCTGGGTGCATATAAATAGATCCAGGAGGCTGGATTGCCACTCAAAGCCGAATAGCTGGGACAGCAGGAAAGATGCCCGCATCGCAAACTGGATTTGGCAACTTCTTCTTGGAGAGGAACATCATGCCGACTGGATATCAGATCCCGGTGCTGGGATGCCCACCGGGTGTGCAACAGCAGCAGCAGGCTCAGCATCTGGCAGCCATGGCAGCTGGGGTTCCCATAACATACTCAGGACTACAGGGATACAACTTTATCCCATATCCGCACCACAGGCACATCGCACACATGGTGAGTTGATGATTCACAAAGTCATTTACTCAATAAATGAAAATCATTGCAACTTACTTCTATCAAAAATGTAACGTCAACTCTGATCGCGAGCAGCTGAACAACTACAAGTTTTCAGAAAAACGAATAACCTCTTAAAGATTTGACTGAGTTGTACTGAAGCTGTGTACTTGCAAAAGCCTCCAAACAAACTTTCTCTGAACTCGTGAAAATATGTTCAGGAGTGGCTCCTCTTCCTTAGATTTCGGCATATAAAACATTCGAACACATTGAACTGCTACGGGTCGAGCTCATCGACTCCCGTGCGTAATTGCGCACAAGCGAAATTCCTTGGCTTATTCTTACTTTTCTCCTCTTTATTTTCCAGAACAACGGTTTCGACCTGAAGGCCGCATCTCCCTACCATCACGCGCTCCTGGCTCGCGGGGGGGCTTTCTACCCGCCCTACCGTCCGGGAGCTGCCGAGGATCCCGGTAGGGTCACCAAGGTGGCCACTCGAGAGAGCACCGGGGCACTCAAGGCCTGGCTGAACGAGCACCTGAAGAACCCGTATCCGACCAAGGGCGAGAAGATCATGCTCGCCATCATCACTAAAATGAGCCTCACGCAGGTCTCCACTTGGTTCGCCAACGCAAGGCGACGCCTGAAGAAGGAGAACAGGGTCAGCTGGGCGTCGAAGGGGAAATCAGATGAGGAGGAGGATGAGGAGCAGGAGGGAGACAGCGACGATGACGACAGCCCCCTGCAGAAATGTCATTTGGACGAGCGGGATGAGACAGAGCATGATACCGACCGCGCAGACACCCACGAGCGCGTCCAGAGCGCGTTGGAAAGCTCGGCACCTGTGGATGCGCGTCTGGAGATGCCGCAGCAGCCAAGCAGCCAGCAGAAAGACGGAGCGCTTGCACTTGTCAAGAAAGTTGAAAAGAGTGACTCTGATCACACCCCATCCGCTTTGGAAAGTAAAGAAAATTGTCAAAAACCCAAAATCTGGTCTTTGGCAGAAACCGCCACCTCAGAGACCGTGAAGAAACCTCTGGACAGTATTTATCACCCGGCCGGAAAACTGTGGGCTGACTGGGCTTCAAGAAGCGGACTGTTTGTTCCCTCGTGTTACACCACTCGTGAAATTGTCTAAGCGGGTATTTAGACACAAACTAGAGACATTTTCCACATCGTTTGCACTTTAATCTTTCAGACCTCAGGGATTTCCTGAAGTTTGCAATGAAAATGAAAAATCTGTTTTTGAGACCAAAGACCAACATGTTGTGTTACTGTAAATAAATTTAGATGTATTTTTCCATCAACAACCTGTAAATTATGTTTCCTTTGTCTAATCATGAAGAAATATTTTTGCTTAAATAAAGTCCAGCTTCTTGCGAAATCCCGACTTGTTCAACTGGTTTGTATTTGACTTTAACGCCCTTATTAATTTAGGCAATATACTTTGCATACATGGGAAATTAAGCCATACTCAGCTTTATTTCCTTCTGACCATATAAATGTAACAATAGATTGTTTATAGGGGCCTTGCACAGAGGATACAACACATATTTCAATATTAAGTAAAATCCTTATTTAAATTAAAGAGAGAAATCCATTTATCCATGTAAATTTGATGAGTACAGAGAGAGTATTAGCCTCACTTTGCATTTCAAACCCAAATCTAGTGAATCCTCACAAACAGGTTTTTGGCTGAGTAATCCTGGACATTACACTTTGAAAAATTTTAGATCTCAGATTCCAAATTCTCAAATTCCTGTGTGAGTGCCAGGTGATGTTTGGTGTTAATTTTAGACATTTTCACCACAGGTATGAAATTCCTGTCCTCTAAGATTAGGCTGCAAGCAGCAGGCCGCAAACCCGTTAAGGTGTTAGTAATGTTTAGAGTTTCCCAAAGGGATTCTTCTCTATCAAATCACCCAGGTTTCCATGTAAATTCAAAGGACTGTACCTCCATTAATCCAGGGATAATGAAAAAGCTCCTGGGAGTAGAAGGCCTTGCAATGCAGTCATCTTCTGGCCTCACCTCTGCATGCAAATCCCTACAAACAGGAACACACACACAAAGATTATTTTCTGCCTTTCTCACAGTAAACACATGAATACAACAGAATATAATGTCTTGAAACTTTAAAACGTTTAGAATGACTGATCTGAATCTCCTTTTGATGTGGACCCCCTCCCTCCCCATGTTACTTAATGACAGTTTAGATTTTCACTTTCACACTGACTATTTCATCCAGCAGTGGGGCACTATAGAGATATTATTCCATGAGGATAGTGAGCCTGTAGCACCCCCCTGAGGAAATCAAGAGTAACTACAGCATGATTTAGACGTGGGGGGGTTTTCCCAACTGTGGGGATAATTAAAGGGGGAAGCACAGGTGCGTGCAGGTGTTGTAAAGACACATAGAGGCAAGGTACTTTCAGACTCCAAGCGTCCAATTGTGGCAATTTGCGTCAAAAATGGTTTCCCCTTGAAGTCAAAACTCAGTCAAATCTGAACACACTATCATGATACACGTATTTTTAGATTCAGTGCTTCTTAAACTTTCACACTTTCGGTGTCCAGCGCGAAATTAACGTCCAGAAATCTGCCCAGGAATCAGGAAAGGGGGGGAAAAGAAACAAACAGACGCGACTTGTAACTCCAGAACTCGCACGAGAATCTCCCCATTTTTAAATTTCCCTCAGTATTTAAATAATTCAGTGACACTTGACAGTACAGTCGCGGGTACAATGCAAACAGGAAATGCTTGTAGCTAATTCGGCTTATTTTTATTGGTGCCAATTTCCCAAAATGGAAACAAATACAGGCTAAAAGTAAGGGGGCCCAAGTATAGGCGCCGATTTATGTTTCTGGGTCGGTGGTCTAACCAGTTGAATGTGCCACCATCACACCACAAATAAACATTCTGCAAAAACCATAGCCTAGACAGCTTGTTACTTTACTGATTTTGAAAAGGTATTCGAGTGTATGCATTTCACCACCGGATCAATAGCAACGACTGTCAAACATACACACAGAGGGATTGGAGATGACAGGTTCCACCAACGATAACAAAACATTAAATGCAAGATAAGTAATGTTAAGCGTCACCAAGATTATTTAGAGGCTCACATGAACATAAATCATAGACCAAGTGCACAATCCAACACAAATCCGACATGACCGCGACTGTGACACAGCACTACACAGTGACACAGCCAGGCGAGTTACAATAGGCCTCTGCTGTTACACACAGAATGAAAGCATATAAGCCTACACAGTAAGGTACAGGCAATTAACCATCAACACATAGGCCCACATAGTTACTCAATATTAAAACTTTGTTTTTTACTCACAGGAAAGTGTTGCTCCTTGCAGCCGTGCGTTTTATGAATTCATCTGTGATTACGTCCAGGTTCCTATTTCGTGATACATTCTTGTGTGTTCTTGATGGAAGCGGGGCATTCATATCTTTAGCTGTGGTACAAGCCTCGCAATATACCTTATTTTTTGTGGTGTCATAGGCTATCCAAGGGAATTTTATTTTCCAGCTAGCTTGAAAAGTCAATCCCTTCTTTTCCTGCGGTGGTCGTTGTCTTCGATACTGTTGTTAGTAGTTTCACTTGGTGTTTTTGGTTTTCTGATCACAAATTTCTCCACTTTGTTGAAGTGAAGTCTCTTTGTCAAAGCAAGTTTCTAGCCCGCACGCGCAGCGTGTGCTGGGTCAGGTGGAGTGTGTTAAACGCTTGATTGGATCATCGGGGCCTGGCAGCCAGAGCCCCTCAAGTGCTCCGCTGATAGCAAAACAAAACGCAGCAGCATATAGTCTCTACCGCTGACGCAACCTAACACCAACCTGGAATTTGTTATTAAATAAATTTGGCCCCTATTGTACGCTTTTGCACGTGGGTGCTCGGCCTTTTCCGTGGGTGCTCGTGCCCGCGGGGCACCGGTGGTATCTTTGGCTCAAGCTTTAGCCCTAGCTCACTGAGAAACATTTTACTTCCTGCTTACATCCACCAAAACTTTATGGATACATCTACGACCTCATCTGAGATGTCAGACTGTGAATACCCCTGCTTTAGACGGATACATTGACACACAGCATTAAAAAAATCTAATAAATTTTAATGCAAAAGATTTTAAATTACATGCTACAAAATTACAGCAGTTATACACTTTTGTATCATGCCCAAATATGAACAGAAGTCGTGTGTACACAATGTACATTAAGTTGTTCACTACATTAAAATGCAATACAAACACACACTGAAAAAAGCCCACAACCTACAAAATGCTGTCAGCACCAAGCTAATACATTTAAGTCATATAGTACGCCACACTCTTCAATTATTGTTACACTACAACAACATTGTTTCAGCATGATTTACGTTTCTTGTTAACACTTATATACATCTTTAGGTTGGGTGAATTATGTACAAGTGAAATATGAGACACAACAGCTGACATTAATATTTACATACTATTCACAATGAGGAGTTTAGGCCATCCTGTGATGGACTGGCGACCTGCCCAGGGTGTACCCTTCCCTTGCCCAAAGTCAGCTGGTATTGTACCACAGTCCCACTCACTACCCTATTAGGATAAGCGGTATGAATGGTGGAATGGGGATTAGGCCATTTTCAGTCTGTAAACGTCTGTGTTTGTGATAGCTGTCGATGGAGTGGTTCTGTTTGTGATTCCTGTCGGGAGAGGGTTTCTGTTTTCCCCATCTCCTGCCCCACATAGTTTCCATTTTCGGTGCGGTTAGGATCCATGGACCCCTCCGCGCTCAGTTCATCCAAGTTTTCCTCTGGTGTCCTCGTACTACTTTCCTCTTGTGAGAGCTGCCGCACAGGAAACATGGGCTCTTTATCAGTGTCATCATCTGGGGTCACTGGTATTCTGGTTTCTCTCGGTACCTCCCATCTTTCTCCATGACATGATGCAACACAGCCCTGCAAGAGAAAAATAATAGTAAATATCAATAAATTAAAATCTACATTCAAGAAATACATTCAATACAACTCCAACATTTTGGGAGATATGCTTATTTGCTTTCTTGCAAAGCGCTTGATGGGAAGATCGAGATAACTCTCATGTCTATATGCAAAATATGAAGCTAGAGCCCGGCTTTGATTAGCTTTGCTTAGCATAAAGACTGGAAACGGGGGGAAATAACTACCATTGCTTTGTTAAAATGTAAGTATTTGTGCTGAATACACAAAGGAGATAAAACATGTTAATTAGTGAGCTTTAGAGGTGCTGCCATGCAGATTTTATTACATTTGGACAGAGCCAGGTTAGCTGTGTCCCTCTGTTTCTAGTCTTTATGCTAAGCTAAGCTAAGCGCCCAAATGGTTGTAGCATCATATTTAGCATACTGATATAAAAGTGGTGTCAATCTTCGCACCTAACTTTGCAAGGAAGCGATTTATTATGCATGAGTCAACAAAGCAAGAAAGAAAATCACATTTACCTTAACCTTTCTTCTTGCATCTCCTGGTTTACCCAACACAAAAGGAAAGAAAAGACAGAGAACATGAGTGCCTGAAGTAGATCACTGAAACTGTAACTCATTAGACATCATTTAAAAGACAGCATTTACAGCGCAGCCTACCTGTGCATCCAAAAATTACACCGGCTAAAATTAGTATCACACCAGCCACAACCGCACCCACAACTATATGCTGCCGTGAAGTTTCCACTGCAAGAAAATAAAAAGAGAGAAAAAAATTAGCTACATATTCGATCCTTCCAGTAGTGTCTAGCACACATTCACAGTTCATAATCTCCAAAAATAAATGATAATAACATAATTTGAGAATATGGGTATTTATTTAGAATAATACAGAACTCTCAACAAATGCACAACAGCACATCATGCACAACAGGAAAAGTAGCATCTGTCAAGTATTTGCATTTTAGCAGAGGAAGCACAAAATAAGAAGGTGTGGAGAAATTAGCGGAAAGAAAGTAGAGGATTTTCAGTCCACGCCTACATTTTAATGCTAAAAAAAAAAATGACTCTTTCACCATTAAATCATTGTGCAGTTTGAACACAAGTGTAGTGTAAATTGCGTGTAGGTGAAAGCTGTGAATGCCACACTTAAAAACCACAGACCAACATAGAATTATGAGAGGTAGTGTCTCATCACCTTGACAGTTTCGTTTTGAGGAAGCACCTCTAACCGCACAGCTGCAGAGGAGCTAAAAGTGAGAAACGTCTATAATTTATCTTCCCACACACAACTTACCACAGACGTTGTCAGATATGTCTGTCCCCTTTTGTTGTCCATTCTTACATCTACAAAAACAAACACACAAAAAAAACAGTGTTAAAGGACAATTCCTGGTTTCTTATGCAAATAAATGACAGAAAAAAGCACTTAAGCTTTAAATTTAGTAAGAATGTGACACATAATTTTGGTTCGCACAGATTAACAACACATTTGAACTAAACCAACGTATGGTAGTGATCAAACCATTTAGTGACCCCTCATGGCCTGTACGGAGACTAACACCTGTTGTCTTTCTTAAAAGTCAACCACAAAACAATATGTCTTCCCTCAACCTTTGAACATCTGAGGCCACATCTTTTCTAAAGCTGCGTTTTACTAAATCAAAAATTTTACTGAAAATGAATAATGAGTTATAGGTTGTATGTGACATCTCCAGGGGAGCTGATGTTTTTTTATGCCTCTGCGCCGGCGACAGCAAAGAGCTGAAGGCATATTGTTTTCGGGTTGTCAATTCCATTCTCTTGGACATGGTATCTCGCCTTGACGAAACTTCTTCAAATTTGGCACAAATATTCACTTGGACTTAAGGATGAACCGAGTTTGGTGGTCAAAGGTCAAGGTTGTAGTAACCTCACAAAACACAGTTTTGGCCTTGTGAATGTGACATCTCAGTAGCGCACTGAAGGAACTTCTTCAAATTTGGTAAGAAATGTTCACCTGGACTCAAAGATGAACGGATTAGATATTGGTGGTTAAAGGTCAACGGTCAAGGTCACAGTGACCTCACAAAATATGATTTGGGCCTTGTCAATGAAATATCTCGAGAACTCCTCAAGGGAACTGGTTAGACTTTGGTGGTCAAAGGTCAAAAGGTATAGGTCAATGTGACCTCACAAAACACTTTTTAGCCATAACTCAAGACTTCACACAGCAATTATGATAAAACTTCACACAAATGGTTAACCATTTATATAACTCTGAATAAACAGGGATGTAACCTGAAGCTAGTCTGAGTAACAGGGGCATACAATCACAAGGCGGTAATTCTAGTTTTTGTTGGCTTGTGTTCAGATACTGTGTGGTTGTGTACACCTGAAATTGTTTGCCCTGTGCATTTGTGTGATGACCAATCACAGCTACAGCTCAAACATCCTCTCTGAAGCATATGATAGAAAATGGCCTTTCAGCTGTTTCTGCAAGATTCTTTCAGAGATGGGAAGAGGACCTTCAACATGCTCATGATGAAGCTGTTTGAGAAGCATATAATTGAGCCATTCTCTTTTTCTTTGTGATAAACTCAAAAATACAGCCTACTATTTAGGAAATTCCATAGAGAACACTGAAATATAGTTAACCCAGTATATCTCTTTGGTTATTTAGTGTAAAGGCATCATACATGCATTGCTTTTGGAGTATTGGCCCATGTATCGCTGTATGTTAGAACAATTTTAAAGCATAAAATGTGCACTATTTAACTGGATCCATGAAAATCCTCTGTAACACACTGGACTCAAGAGTTTCTTAGAGGTTTTTCCACTGAAAAGCTAAATTCAATAATAAAAAGAAATGATAACAGTTTTATGGATCTATGGGGCTCTAATGCCCAGTGAACTAAAGCCCCTTTTCCACTGGTCAAAAAACCTGCTAAGAACCGCTAATATCAAACTATTGTCGGCAATGGAAAAGGGTACAATGAGCATTCACATCCAGGTGAAATGACTATTGACCTGGTACAAACAGAATACAAACTTTCTTTCTTTCTTTCTTTCTTTCTGTCTAACTCAGGTCTGTTTTTCTTTGATTATGCAATAATGTCTGTTATCTTTGTGGCCACTTGAGGGCAGCGGACAAGCAAGTCAGTGTGATGATGCCTGTCTCTTTCCTCTGGTGTCAAATCTTAAATCAAGGGGAAGCCAACAAAAGGCTGTACTTCGTGTTATGACTGTAAAAAAAAAAAAAAAAAAAAATAGTCATGTTAAAGCTGTTAAAGCTTAAATGTGTAAATTTCTACCTGTGTTTGGTGTGTTGTTTTTTATTTACCTGAAAATGAATAAATTATAGTTTATATGTGACATCTCGAGGTGAGTGAGTGTTATTTTGGCTTGTGTCAAGATACTGTGTGGTTATGTACAAATCAAAGTCTTCGTCAAGTGCATCTGGCCAATCATATCCCAACAACAATGAAGACACCCTCTCCAAAGCAACTAAAAGAACACAGTCCTTCAGGGGGTCAATCCCACTTAACGGTCCAACCAACACACCGATGCAGTGTCCTGCTCTTAAACAGAGAGACACCAACATGATCTTGCTCCTCCTGCTATTTGGTCTGGCTCTGGGTGCGGAGAATCCTTCAGATGAACATGAAGTGAAGCTACAGCAAGGAAATTGCACCATGTCCTGGTTCAGCTTTAACGGCCGCTGCTACAAGTACATGGCCACACAAATGACCTGGGCTGATGCAGAGCTCCACTGTGTGTCAGAGGATGCCAACCTGGTGTCTATCCACAGTCTGGATGAAGATAATTTTGTTAAAGCCGTGATCAAGAACTTTAGGCCCACTAGGGAAGACTCCTGGATCGGACTCAGTGACACACATAAGGAAGGAGGATGGATGTGGTCTGACGGGTCTGCTGTCAACTTTCTCTTATGGGCCCCCAGACAGCCAGATAATAAAAATGGAAATGAAAACTGTGTACACAACAACTTTATGGAGGATCTAAAATGGAATGATCGAAGATGTTCTATCTTTTCATCTTTTGTTTGTGCATCTCGCATGCCTCCAGCAACCAAGATAGTTGTGTCCAATTCAACCTGTTGACTTGGCACCTGTTTTTCTGTTGAAATGCATTGGACCACCAAAATAAAAGTCAAACTGAGGCCATAGTTTTGGTATGTTTTTGGAGCTCTGTTGTCTCATTTCATATGTAAATGTATTGGAGTTCATATACTTACTCTTTCCATTTCTTACAGTCACTGCTCCATGAGTCCTCATTGGAAAATGATCCTTCGGGACATTTCTGACACACTGTGTCATGCGTCTGATTTCCTGAAAGCCAAGAATGACAGCCAGAAAAGATTCTTCACATTGCAAAACCAAATCTGATCACTCCTGATATTAAGTGTAAAATAATCCCTGCATAAGAAAGATGTGCCGTACCTATGGACAGAGCCCCGTGTCCTGGTTTACAGGTGGTGTGCGGCACACAGGTTATACAGGCATCACTGGAGCAGTGGAATCCCACCTTACACATGCAGGTGATTCGTTTCTTTTTGTTGTCATTGGTAGCGGCCCGAAAGTTTTTATCTGAAAGGAGAAAGGGCACGAGTTGTTTGAGTTGTGCTACATCAACCAAAAATCTCTCAATGTGTAATTTGTCACAAGGTCTTACTTGCGTCACAGTACGGCTGACGTTGACACTTGCTGTCAGTTGTGTATTTATCTTGATATTCATTCTCCCCACATTCTTTGCATTGAGGTTCCTGACAAGATCTGCTGCTCAACATGTGGTTGCCTGAAAAACATAATGATAATACATTCTAAAATATACCTAACTCTGCATAATACTGTACATAGAATATGGGAGCATGTGATTGAAAGGAATAGTTTAACATTTTGGAGACAGCACATTCTTGCCGAGTTGTCTTTCTTGTTAAATGAAAGGACTGATTCCAGTCTCACATCTGTCTCATGAATACAAAGCTACAGCCAGAGCAGAACAGCTGGCCTGGTTCTGCCCATAGGTAACAAACTCCGCCCTACAGCATCTCTAAAGTTCATTAATTAGCACATTATGTTTGGTTTGTTTAAGTTGCACACAAAAAACTATTTAATCTGCCATTTTTTTTTTTTTGATGAATGGGTTAATAGATTAGTTTGTGTCAAAAATTATGAAAACATGACCATTACAAATTTCAAACAGACGTCCAACAAGCAGATATTCAGTTCTCAATGATATAAACAGTGAAAATTAGCAAATCTTCTCATCTGAGAAGCTGTAGCCAGAGAATGTTTGAGATATTTTTCATGACATTATATTTTTTTGCTTGAAAAATGATTGAAACGATTAACTAATTATCAATCTAGTTGACAATTGTTTTATCTGATGCTTGACTAATCACTTAATCGACTCATTGTTTCTGCTCTACTTGGCCGTAGCTTCATATTGACCAGAAAGACACTTGAGTGGTATCAATCTTTTCATCTAACTATCGGCCACAAAGCAAATAAGTGTATTTCTTTAATACTGTCCCTTTAAGGTGCTGAGGACAAATGATGGACAAAAGTGAAAGAGTATCAAATGAAGGAAAAGCAGGAAGCAAACTGAAAGCAAAACTAAATGTTTGTTAGTACCAATGATGATGCTGTTTGAGAATCTCTTTTGTCTTCTATATACTGTATATTTTATGTTTAATTAGAAGTTATTGTTCACATTTTTGTCTTTAAGGGGCCCATTTTCTACAGTTTTCATAGTAAGTAAATGAGACGCAACCCCTCAACAAATAGTGCCACAGTGCACTGGAAGAGTGTCTGTGTGTATGCAATCCAACTTATCAGGGGTGATAATAGAAATAACATGATCATAAACATACTTTTTTTCACTATGCAACAAAGTCAGCAGAGGAATTGACCGGACGTACCTGGACTACACATTTTGCAGCACTGGCCATCCACCACATATTGAGTTAGAGGGTCACAACGGGGCTGAGCAGCAGTCATCCCCTGCAAAACAAGAAACATGACAGTACTGTAACTGTGTGGCTATGGTAACGCCTGGTAGCCTTTACAGTAATGATGGGGGTTTCTGTGCAATGGCAGTTGGCTCATTTCCTCAGACCAGGCTGTGTGCGAGTGGTGTGGCGGAAAGTCCCAAACATTTAACTAACTGGTGAATTCAGAGACAGCAGCCGCATCTCCTCCTTTCTCTGACAGTTTTACAGGTATTTGTTATATTGTAACCTTACGTATTCAGAAAAAGTCACATATTTTCACCACAACCTTTGGCTCTGATACTGGCGCAAGGAACCGAAAGTGAAAGTAACTTGAAGAGACGTGTGTATCTGGTAAAACCCTGAACCTGCGCATTTTCGACCCTCTGATGCTGATAAAACTACACATCTGAGTAAAGGACGAACAAAATCAACTTTGAAATGAACTAAATGATACAATAACACAGAGCGGTATAACCTGAGCTACATACAGCGGTCACAGATCAAAATCTATCCTTTCTACAGCGAAATGCATTGATCAGCTTGCTCACCATAGAAGCGCAAATCATCATCCCCAGCAATAGACGCATCTTAGTGATTTTTGTTGGAAGTCGCAGCATGTTGCTCGCTCTCAGACACTGACTTAGTTTCTGTTGCAGTCCGCTTTTAAGGGAGGAGCTGAGAGCTGGGTATTTCCCACGTGATTTTTTTTTTTTTTTGACCATTTCCTGTAAATTCGCAGCTCCACCTTGAACGTGTCATACGTATTTATATGTCAGCTGTAACACTACATTATCCTAGATAGGCTCTCAGTGCCAATAATATTCAGTACAACAAAACATCACTGTGTGGAAATGCTCCATTATAAGTCAAAGTCTTAGATTGTTTATACCTAAATGTTTGCAAAAATATTACAAGTAAAAGTACTACTAATGGAGGAGAATGGCCCGTTTCAGTGATACAATTCAATATATCATTGAATTATTATTACTGATGCTGCGATGTGTAAGCAGCTCTTTCCTGCTGTAGCCGGCTCAGGTGCAGGTAATTTTAATTACCTTTAATTGCAATGCCTTGTATTTAATAAATGTAATAAATGTGTATTTCCAATGTGCAAACTAGCTGCATGAATATGCTATAGGGGCTAATGCAGTAAAAAAAAAAGTGCAATACCTTCATTTACAAGCTGTAAAGCATAAGTAGGAAGTAGCACAAATACAAATATTAGTAATAATTGTAATTGCCCTACATCAAAAATGTAGTGAAGTACAGTACTTGAGTAAATGTTTCCTCAAAGACCTCGTTGCGTTTTAAAAGGTTAATAAGTCGAAGCTTTAATTAGGCTACTATTACATGTGTATTTTATGTTTTCACAGAAAAAAAAGATAAAGTCTATAAATGTGTTGTTAACAAACTGTAGCAGTTCTTAGGTATCTCATCACAGAATGACATGTATTGTTTTCATTGTGCTCGACCACACCTCACATTCTGTGGTAGATACTAAAACTCCACCAGTTTATCTCGGGATTTCCCTTAAACTTCTCATGAAGCGGTTTTTCATCACATGGTCAAGCGGCTAGTGAAGATGCTTCTCTGTTGCCGTATAACCTGTAATATGCTTCCCTCTGTAAATGTACTGACCATTCAGTGAGTCATTTTGTGTCAAACTAAAGCTGCTGTTCAGATTTTCTTGAGCGTTTATTCAAGCAGTTACGGCGGTATCAGGTATCAGCTGCAGCCAAAAAGCACTGAATCTCATGACAGTTTCCTTGTTGGAAATTCCGTTCAATGTCCTTTTCTGTCCCAGCAACCTATCAAAATAAAGCCTCTTTGTGGAATAAACATTATACATCTTTCTCCTATTAGACTCGTCATGTTTTTTTTACCTGAATATATTTAGTAAAATCTTCATTAATATGCTCATACTCAGCATGTTCTTGTCTACATTAAATATTGAATGAATTAATTGTTACCTCAAGTTTGCAGACTTCATATAATCCCTGCTGCATAATCTGTTATTTCTGACACTTTTCTTCTTTTGCAATTGTATTTTCATGCCTATTTATGTTTTGGTACTGACCCTCCCCTACCTTGTCCTGTGTTCTTGAAATTCTCTGAAAACTACATGGTTGACCAGGATTCAGGAGAGAGGGATGATGGAGGAGCGCATTAAGAGTTAGTGAGGAGTGTTAAAATTAAAATTTTTCATCACTTTCTACTACTCATTTTGGCATTTGTCTTGAATAATAAATCTACATGTGAAGTCCACTGTATTCCTACTTATACGCTACAGAAAATATGACCTTGTTTTATTTCCTTCGATGATTTTTAAGAATTCAATACAGGTTCAAATCCAATTTCAATCATAAAAAAGTTCAGTACAGTTTTGCTGAAATTCTGTTGAATTTCTCCTCATTAATAAAATGACAGACTATGGTTGTTGGTCCACCTTTTAAGGGTGAATTCCTTCAGTGTAACAGTGTAGTGTGGTGATATTTGCTGTCACTGATGATCAGCTCTTCTTCCCTGTTCATTTCCAGGCAAATAATTCAGACACAGTATGAACAGTACAGCAGAACAAATGGCACATGAAGTGTCCTGAAAAATTCTAAAAATCAATTTCATGTGGCCTATGTTTTATGTAAGGACCCATCATGTTTATCCGTTGTCACTTTCTTTCTGTATCTTCTGTATCCATTCTCGCTACCTCTTATTAGTTTTAAGCTTAAATTATGAGTTTATCTGTCAGGCTCAACAGCAAGAAGTGAGTCTAAGTCCCCCTAAAAGACAAATTTTCATCTATCTACATGTTAAAAAGGTACCTAAAAATGACAAAATGACATGTCTTGATTGAAATTGATGTCAACATCACAACAAATATGCACAAAGTAGTAAAGTTCTCATAGAGTGTAACACATGTATAGTGTGTCACAGTCCATAAAAAAACATGGAAGGACAGGAATAACTGGTGGACACAGACAAGATAAGTCAGACAACATGAGAGAAGACACCTAATATGGTGATGTTGTTATGTCATGTTTGACATGTTTGTTATATGTGTGCTTATTAAACTGGCCAGCACAACAACAATAATCACTTCCAGAAAAATGGTGTTGTCAGTTTAATCCAACACATTATAAAGGAGTGTGAATTTTCACGCACTGGTTAATTCACTCAGATTCTGTTTCTGCTGAGGTGGTTCTTTTTTTTAACTGTCTCTATGCGAACATTTTCTTATGACCTCTTGACCTTAATTCGACCTAACTCGACTTGAAAATATGAGCCTCTCGGTGGCCCACATGAAGTGTATAAAATACAGATATAGGTTATTACACAGAAAGACATAAATGCAGAAAACATAGACAACCACAGTAAGACACGCAAATAAAAGCTATGAAAAATTAAGAACATGACCTGAAAGCAAAGGTGATATAAGTGACAGTTTTGTACCACAAACAGCAGATAAAATGATCATGCAGATGATCAACGAGTGAACATTATAACCTTCATAAAGGAGGATTTATTGCAGGGCTGTGGTATTACATTGGTTTTAGCTAGGTGTACCTAATAAACTGTCAGCTGAATGTATATACTGTACTAATGCACTAATACTCTCATTAAAACACTGTCATGACCATTCAGATTGACTTCAAGATGAAAATGATGTGCAGCATAGAGAGAGGCATCATCAAACATTAACTTCCCTTGATGTCAGTTCCAGGTTCTCCATCTGCTATAAAGGACATAAAGACTATTAACTGGAGGCCACATCACTGGAAGACAAGCACAAGGTGAATCTATACTTAGTGTGGGTATACATTTAAACAAAAAAAAAAAAACAGTAAGTGCTTTTTACTGAGAACATATCCAATTTCTGCTAAGAGGAGGAGAGGTTGTATTCCTTTGGTGCGTAGTTGTAATTGATGCTCTCACTGGGACTTTCCTCATGCTGATGATTCCCTCTTTTTGAACAGAGAATGCAGCTTGTGAATCAAACAATTTATGGGAACATATACAGTGACCCTGAACAGGGAAATGCAGAAACTCATCAGCAGCCTCAGGCAACAAGGAGCCTTCAGGGAGGCGTCTTGTTATTACACAGAGGAAACCTTCAGATTGGTGAATTAAGGTGATGGCCAGATCAACCTCCAAGGGGGCCCAGGGCAAAAAGTTGTTGTTGGGCCTGTTAAGTGGGCCCCCACTATACATGGTAGTATTATTATTTCCCCAGGCACCCAGAAACCAACTAGTACTCTTATGCTGAAATGATAAGCTGGTTCATTGATTGACAATGAAGAAATTGGCAACAATTTTGATAAAAAATCACTGGTACCAGCTTCTCAAATCTGAACATTTGCTACTTTTCATAGTTTTCTATAATAGTTGAAAAAAAACAACTTTTTCTGATATTTGACATTTACACACTAAACAATTAATGATTTGTTAAAGAATATGATTATCAGATGTATTGATAATGAAAATAATTGTTGGCCTTACAGATCTCAGATGAATTAATAATTAATTTACACACACAGAAATAAAAATACTTTAACAAATGAGCTCAATATAAACTTAAACAGGTTTGACACAGAGTCCCAGACCAGAACCACAAGAAGGATGATGGATATGATACAACATGTCATATCCTACTGGTGTTGATGCAAATTTCTTTTCCTTCAACCAAAATATGTGGAACCAACTGACATAGAGTGAACTTGGGGATTTGGGGGCACAGATGACAACCAGCCTTGAGTACAGATGTGTCCTTTTTGCAGTAGCACTGGTATTTTAAGACAGCTATGATTTGTAGCTACATGTTCAAACATTTTGATTTTATTTCATAAATCTTTTGATAAATCAGGACTGTGGTTCACTTCCATATGACATATGAGGTCTATTTTCCCTCGCTGTTATCAGTTTTAATGAGATGACAGTTAGTTATTTCACATAAACTCGCAAACTCCAACCATGACAGAGAACAACCCCAGTTAACTCCTGCTAACATTAACTTAGCAGATCTCATTAGCTGTCACCTCATCATACATATGTATGGCATATAGAACACGGCTCAAAATGGACAAGAAAGCTGAGAGAACACATTTTGTATGTAGATTCTGTGAAGATTATCCAGTCTAGCATCTTTGGGGTAAAATAATCAGCCTAAAAAGGTAAAATCAAGGTATTACAACCTTTGTATCTGTTACGTGGTTTGTCTGGCAGCTTGAAAATGTCTGCCTTTGTGGGGCTGCATGAGAATTATAATCCAGTTTATCAGGGGAAAACACTTGATGATAATGTGCTGAAATATTTTCGTTGCAATAGCACTTTGTTGCTTTTTGAGTTTGCAGGTGACTTCACCTGCATTTTCCTTAAATATGTGCATTAAAATTATGTCTTATTCTCATACCCCTGTACATGCTATATATACTGTGGACATATTCCATATGGGTAGACAATTACATTCTGACTAGGAATCCATGAGAAGTCTCAGCAATGCTATTAGGGAAAAAAATTAAATGAGAGATGTAAATTGTATTATTGTATTGCATTGAGGTATGATGGGTACTGTGAAGGGGCTACAGGCTTCCTACAGTGCTCTCTCCTGGATAAAAGTGGTTGAGCATCAGATAAGGCACATTGTCCTGCAAGTGCAGACATGTAAACTGACAGAAAGTGTTTTGCAGAGAGCTGCGCTGCTGTGGGTGTGGTTGTAGAACCACTCACTGCTCTTCACCTATAAGTGCAACCTGAGCTGAAAGAGGGCGGTAATAGAAAGTGACACAAATCCCAGCAATGTTCCTTCTCCCCGGACAGAGAAGCAGATCTCTGTCTAAGATTTGTGAGGCATAAAAAAGACCAATAATCATTTGCATCTTTGCTACAACAGAGGAGCAGATTCATTGTTTCACAGTTTGCATGGATTTTTGTGTGATAGCTAAAAAATGATGCCAAATTTAGGATCAAAGAAGAAAGACAATCTATCCAGAATGGATAGATACACTGAGGACTTGCCAAAGGTAAGACTTCAGTTTATGTGCTTATACAAGAAAGCCAGCATCAAGCAGTAAGTTCCTTTTAACAGCAAGTGTCAGGTTCTTAATTCAGCATGTTTATGAGAGCATAAAATCAATGCGTCTGCAGATGAGTCACTAAATAACAAAAGCTTTACTGTATTCTTTGTTCCAGAGAAATCAGCCCTCTCACTTTCATTAGCGTCAGGTCTGTCAAGCAAGACAGAGACAAAGTTTTTGTGCACTTTATGGTAGTCTCTCGAGCATTTCTACTTCCTCAATTCAATTTGACTTCCCTGCTTTTTGTACTGTAGTTTCCCACAACAGTTGCTCTTACTTACTCAGAAATGTGACAGTGACTGATTTAGGAAGGCGGTGTGTTCCTGTAATAGCATTCTTAAACATATACAGATGTTGATCTTTGTTCGCACTGGTTCCTCTTTACTGTTCCACTGAGCTGAGACTGACACATGCATGTTTCTCACTTTGTGAAAACACGGTATGTTAGCTAAAAGGAAGAGCATTAAAATACCTAAAAGAAATCCAAAGATTTTATAGCAGTACTCTATGAGTTATTTGTTTGTTTACCAAAAGCGAGGCTACTACAAATGGGCTGGATTTGTCACTTTATCACATATATTTTAGGAGATATGGCCCAAAATCTGTTCTGTTGTGAACATGGTTCACAACAGGAATAACCTCTCAAACATGGTTCACAACAGGAATAACCTCTCAAATATGGATGTAAAAAGGGAGAAAAACTACCCAAAGCTTCCCACGTTAACACATTTGAGTTGATTGATTGGCTTGTTGTGATTTCAGCTGAGCAATGAGATGCAGCTGAGCATCATGAACAAGGTGAAGAACGGAGAGTTGTCTATCGAGGATGCTCTGAACCTTGCCAGGAAGGACCGGGACCAGCTGCTCAAACAGCAGAACCTGGCTGAAGAGGTACCAACATTTTAAACCAGGCTTCCTTGATATTTCATCGACTGTCGTTCCAAAATTCTCATGATAGCATTTCGTTTTCGTGTTGACCTCTGTCGTTGAGTGTGGGACAGTTTTTCATTCTATTCTGGGACGAATGGGGATTGCATTGATTATGATGATAGAGTTGATTTTATTACAAATGTATTAAGCAAATATCAAATATTGTAACACACATTATCTCAAGGCACTTTACAGGGTAAGGTCAGGGGGGACGACAGCTGTAGGCAGAAGGAACAGCTGTGTACATTGTTGATTGTTGATTATCATAGGGAAAATAATAATACCAATAAGCAATAGAGTTATCAATAATAATAATAATAATAATAATGACAATAATAATAACAACAACAACAATAATAATAATAATAATAATAATAATAATAATAAGAGAGAGCCAGCTCTATGCATCATGGGAGATCCCCCAGCAGTCCAGGTGTATAGCAGCGTAACTAAGGGATGGTTCAGGGCTCACCTGAGCCAGCCCTAACTATAAGCTTTATCACAGTTTTAAGGACAGTTTTAAGCCTAATCTTAAATGTAGAGAGGGTGTCTGGCTCCCAAACCCAAACTGGAAGCTGTTTCCACAGAGGAGTGTGATAGCTGAGGACTCCTCTAGGAACCACAAATAGGCCTGTATTTAGAGAGGGAAGAGTTCTATTGGTATATAAAGTACTATGAACTCTTTGCTTATTTGCTTTCGAGCTGAGATCAATACCACTCTAATGCCTGTGTGTTACTAATTAACGTGTCTCTTTGTTGACCGTGTACACAAAAGAATATGGTGCAATAACTTCTTAGTCTTGTTGTCACAGTGGGGTTGCCAGCCAACCAGCAGATAGGTCATGGATAAACTGTTGTTTGTTAAAGCAGTTACAATAAATATATTATATGGACAACAAGACAACTTGCTTGTGAAACCCACAGAATTATCACCTGACTCTACAGTTCAACTCAGTTCTATGAACGCTTAAGTGTTTTTCAGCTTATTTGGATTTCAACTTCATTCGAAATCTTTTTCTTCTTTTTTACAGCTGTTGTAAAAAACAGCTGACAAAGTTTTAAAAATCCACTGTATGCCAACTGCCCAGTACCAAACACACAAAACTAGTGACTAGCTAGTGAAACATTTAGCAGCAAAAGAGCCTGAAATTTCCTTCAGGAGACAAACACAGAGATAAAAGGTTAGTTAATAATACTGGACATTCTGCTAGAGGCCAGAAACACAACTGAATTCTAATATTCCCCTAGATGTGTAAATAGGCAGTCGATTGCTAAAAAGTTTACCATATCAACTTATAAGGTTGAAGAAATACCAACAGGACTGCCGTAAACCACAAAGTATTTCCCCCTGCACTCATCTCAGACTCATGTGACTCTCTGCATCTTTGACATCAAATCACTTTAAAGACATTATTTACAACCTACAACCTATATTGCTTTGTGAAAAACCAACGTGTGTCCTGTTCTTCTGTTGTGTTAACAAGCTGCTCAGCCTGCTGGGTCGGTTTTAAAATGAATCTGTCTCTGGCCACTTTGATTTGCCCAGAGTAATCTTTATGAAGGAATGAAGGCAGCTTTTGTTCCGCGTCTTAACAGGAAACAGTCAAAGGACAAAAGATACTTTCCTTAAAATTACCCTGTTGTTCATTAGAAGATGTTTTACCATTGAACAATCATGTCTGACATTTGTTTTTGTTTTTTTGGGTGCAGGAGCATCAACCATCACAGTACAACTTCAGTGTTCATAAACACAGTCACTACAGGTGGCAGAAGCGGGTTCTTCAGGTGAGTGAAAACAAAACAAAACAAAACAAGTTTAAGTATACTTTCCATAAAACAAGTGTAAGAAGGCTACAGCCAGCAATGTGTTTTCATGCTAATATTAGCTAATTAGCACTAAACACAAAGTGCAGCTATGGCTGATGGGAATGTCATTAGTTTTACATGTATGTGGCACTAGATGACACATTAATTGATTATCAAAGTGATTATAGCTCATTCTGAATGGAAAATAAATGTTTGTGCCAAACTTCATCGTAACCCATCTCATAGTTGTTGAGATGAAAAAAATATCAAACTTGTTTTGGCAATGCAGGAAAACTGGAGAACTGTTCAAAGTTTTGTGGCAGCCCATCCAGTACATGTTGAGATGTTTTGCTAAATAAGAGAAAACTTTGAAGTGTTAGTGGCACACGACAGAAAGTCAAGAGATTGCCAAAGTCACTAGGATTCATCATCAGGGGAAAATGAATATCAGTATAAAATTTCACAGCAATCCATCCATCTTTTCAGCCTGCGCTGAAGTGGTGGACTGACTGAGCAACAGCTCTCAAGACACACCACTAAAAACTATATCAAAAGTGGTGATCATTTTTGCTGTGTTTTAAACTCAGTGACCGGTTTGTTAGGTACACCTAGCTACTAACTAAGCCTAACTAGCCTAACTTAAACAGCTCTGCAATAAATCCTCCCTTCATGAAGGTTATATTGTTCGGTTTTTGTTAACACTGTTTTATAGAGGTGTTGATTCAACTTTATGGTTAGTTTGGAGGCTCTAATTTGTGATGCTACTAAAATGAGATGTTACTATTATAAAGCCTCCCCTCTCTGATATAAATGGGGTGGCTTAATTAAAACCTCTCTAAAGCAGTTAACAGTTTTGCTAGGTGTACCTAATAAATTGGCAACTGAATGCATAAACTGTACTTATACTGTAATTAAAACACTGTCATTATAACCATGCAGGTTGACTTCAAGACCAAAATGCTGTGCAGCATTGAGAAAGGCATCATCAACCGACAACTTCCGTTCTCCATTGTCAAAAGCTGTGATGATGGAGTCGGTTCAAGATTCTCCATCTCCTTTAAAGGACATCATGACTATGAACTGGAGGCCACATCACTGGAAGACAAACACAAGGTGAATTTATACTCAGTGTGGCTACATTTTATTATTATTGTAAAAAACAGTGTGCGCAAAGCAGCCTTTTATACTGAGAACATCTCTGTTGGGCCTGTTGTTTACTTTAAGAGAAAGTTATATAATTATAATTAAGATGAGGAATCATGTAGTATGTGTCCGTATTCCTTTGTAACCAGTTGCTATTAATGCTTTCATGCTGGTGATTCTTCCTTTTCTTTTGGATGAACAGATAATGCAGCTTGTGAACCAGATAATTTATGGGAACATATACAGGGATCCTGAAGAGGGAAATGCAGAAACTCATCAGCAGCCTCAGGCAACACAGAGCCTTCGGGAAGGCGTCTTGTTACTACACAGAGGAGGCCTGGCATCATTCAGATGGGTGAAGTACGGATGTTTCCTTATTGCAGTAGCACTAAAAAACACAGCTACCAGCACCTCTAAAACTCACAAATTAACGAATTCTTGTTTTATCAAATATGTATAAAAGCCAAAATGTTAAAGGAGTCACTACGATCGACCCAAACAGTTCCAGCACATAACTCCCCATAAAACCATTAACAAATGCAACATAACTTTTATCTTTTTGCCACATCCACCTGCTCGCCTGTTCCTCATTCCCCAGTCATTCCGCCAGTGTACATACCATTTCATGTACCTGCACCCTGACTGATCATCAGTGTTCTCAACCAACTAGAGGTATTCAGAGGTTCTATAAACGAAGTGTTACGAAGCCCAGTGAAAGCGGCCACTATGAGCACGAGAGCCGACGAGAGACTTTTGTAGCTGCTCACTAATGAAAACAGACATGTGACATCATGTATCCATCAAGTTACTTACACACCGAGGAGAAGAAAAGCCAGTTCCAAGACAAGCTGGAACACCTCTCGAACTTGGATTCAGCCACGGACTTATCCACTGGGACTGGGCCGCACAAATGACAATGACGGAGCCAGTAAAACTAAACGGAAAGTTTATGGTTTACTCATTCACCACCAACAATAACAACGTATTTATCAGTGAGCTTTAGAAGTGCTGCCAGATTTTGGAACCTTTTGGCAGAGCCAAGGTAGCTGTGTCCTATTGTTTCCAGTCTTTATGCTAAGCTGACTGGACAGAGATGAGAGTGGTATTGATCTTCTCATCTAACTAACTTATGGCATGAAAGGAAATAGGTGTATTTCCCAAATTGTGTATTACCATTTTTAAGTCTTTGGTGAATCTCTTTGGTATAGTGAATTGACAGTGGCATTAGAAAGTTACAGTTTGATTGATTTCCACTGGTGCTCATCATGCTCCGTTTGTACAAAATTTACATGGATTTCAAGGGCACAAACTACAAATATGACAGTTAGTTGTTGTTGTTGTGGTTTAAATTACACATCACTCCTTCATTTTCTTTCAGATACGAGGTCCAGCTTCACCCGGGCCAGCTAACACTGTTCCCCTTCAGGTGTCGAGGCCCCGCTGACGATGAGGTGGCGTCCTCAGTGCCCGTGTCCATCGTGATTCACCTGTCAGACGGTGACACCAGCGTACAGAAACCTCCCAGCCCGGACGCTTTCACCCTGATCACCCACAAAAATGAATACCAGTGAGTGAGGATTATTAGGGAAATATCATGACAGCAAGGGATTAATGAATTCTGTCTATCAGCTTCTTTTCACATTAATTTACAGCCCTGTAATAGTGTGTAATTTCAGTTAATTGTAGCAGTCATGATGCAGCCTTGTCTAAGTGATAAACTCATAAATATAGGCATGAAGTGTTATTGCCAGACTTATCTCTGCTAATAAGGGAAGTTAAATTTAATGTTTTTGATTCATTGCAGATTCAAGGTGCCTGTATCAGATCAAACCAGTGCCCAAGGGGCTGTCCAGAGGGAGCGAGATGCTTGGATCCATGCCATTGACAAACTGTGTGCAGAGTGGAAGAGGAAGTCCAAGGACAAACACACATTCATAGAAACAAAGATTCTACAAAATCTCAGCATAGCCGAAGACGCGGAGGACACCAATAGAGATCTTGAGTCAAGCGGTGGATTTAGTGGTGGCACTATCATTTATCCTCCAGGTGATTATGTAAATGCTGATCCCACTTCCAGCAGTGACAAAAGTGGAACTTATCCCTCTTCTGATTATACAAAGCCTGTTCCTGCACCTCGCAGCCCGTGGAAGGCTGCTGCTCAAGTTATCGGACATGATACTTTGCCTCCTGTCCCGTCGCCAACCTCTCCCTGTGCTGTTCCCTTATCATCACCCACCTCTCCCCCACCCTCACCCTCCCGTATTCCCCTCACATCCTCCTCCACAGTCCCAGAGTCTCTTAAACATGAATCAGGCTCATCGGTTGTGAAAGGGCCTTCGCCCCCGAGCATCCCGGCCGCCCCACCTTTACCCTTCAAACCGAGGACAAATTTAAGAAAAATACATACCAAGGCTTTCCACTGGGACCTAGTTGGCTCAGAGAAGGTAACATTGCCACTAAAAACTTTATTCATCAGAAGACTCTAAATTAGCATATTTTCACAGTTAAGTATAAAATGTACTGAGGGTCTTATTCATATTTAAATGCAGCGTTTTACTACTTTGGCAAACACAGAGAGGTCAGTTTGAGCTCAGTTTCTCTTCATCATTCCTCATATTGCATCATTGTTGGGAATTAGTCTTTGTTTTGTCTGTCACTTAGCCTATTGCTTCCCCAGTGCTGCCTCCTTTGTAATGTTAACATTGATTTCCTCGTTAAACAGGGTCGTCTCAGCACTGAATTAATTTGTTTCTCTGCAGATTGCAAAATCATTTTGGATACAAGAAAGCGGCGGGAGGATTGAAATCGACACATCACGCTTATACGAGCAATTTGCTGTTAGAGATCTGGGGACGTTCGGTGCGGCTGAGCAGAGCAATACCCAGCATATTATGCTCAACCAGAAGATTGCACACAACTTCAGTAAGTAGCTCAACAATGACTGCTGTGGTGAAGCTGCTTCTAAATATTGTCCAGTTCAACAGATAATTTGCAGCATTTTAGGGAGGGAGAGGTTGTAATGAAACGCCATTCCTCTTCATTAAGTTAAACAAAGGTTCTTGTACCTTCAGTGAATTAGAAGTTGTGTGCGAAATAAGCTCATCCCTTTCACCACCACCAGAGGGAAGCACTGCATAGAAAGAGTAATCAGGATCTCTGCAGAAACAGTGTTAATGTCAGGCTCTTTGGTTTTCATGAATTAGATTTTAATAGCCCAATTAAAAGGAAGCTGACCTGAGAACTCTTTGGGTGAGGGTCTATAAATGCTGGCATTTTGCTCTTTTGAAAGTAATGGTGGAGACTTTAATGGTGCCAAAGTGGCTGTAAAGCAGTTGGTCCTCCTGTGTGTCTGCAGGGGGCAGTGTGTCACCAACCCATAACTTCCCATGCAACCTGCAGAGCTATTGTGAATTGGAACATATTCTATTTCTTATCTAATAGCTTTTCACTTTTGATTAACTGAGTGTATGTGGCTTGTATATTTCAAGACCTGAGCCAGGGGAGAGCATTTCAGAAGCTTCCTCTCAGAGGTCCTCCAAGAGGCCCAGACACTGTGAAGTGATACAGATGTGTGCTGGTGGTGGGCTGCTAAACGGAATCAAGAGTGAATGTGCAGACTGGCAACATAATTAGAGTTCACACGTTCATAAAATATGGATAGGGGATCTAAGCGACAACGACAGCGATTTCACTCGCAGACAGAGTTTGTGCTCTTCTCTGACCTGGAAACTTTGGTTGTGTCAGGAGCAGGGGCTGAGTGATGACAGCCTGCAGGAAACCCAAGGCCATGAGTCTTTCTGCTGCAAGCTTTAGAAAAATGTAGACATCTGAAGAATAAAGGACATTCTCTGTTTTGCTGTCTGTCCTATTAATCCCAAGATAAAAAGTGCTATTTCAACAGTGGTGGAAGAAGGCATTCAGATCGTTTACTTAGAGGTGCTGTATGTACATTTTTGCTATCACTACATCTCTCAACACTACTTTGTGATAGTGAGTCACTGTAGCGTCAAGTCTGCCCTCAGTTCAGCATGAAAGGATGAGGAAGTAGCACTGACCAGAGGGAATATTCTAACCTCTTGTCTTGTAAACACAATGACGGCTGAAGCTCTTGTCAAGCGACCATCACCACCATCATCACCACCACCCACTCCCAGCAAGAAACCACATTTGACAGCAGAGAAAACCTATGTATACCACGTATACTAAGATTCCTGCATTGGAAATATTTAAGTACAACAATGTAAGCAAACTTTACTTAAAGTACCAAAGGTAAAAGTGGTTTTGATCCAGAAAAGTTCCACCTTTGATTGTACTATTATATACTCTGTTATTAGATCATATTTTAAAAGCTTGTATGTTTTGTATGTAAAATCTAATCTAATCTAATCTAGTACATGTACTTATTATAGCTCTCAGATAAATGCAGTGAAGTAAAAAGTACAGTAGAAGTATAAAGTGATATAAAATATATCGTAAAGTAACTATGGATGTAAATGTATGTACTGCAGTAAAAGCATTCCCTTCTGAGGTGTAGAACAGAAATACTCAAGTATAGATCTCAATTTTGGACTTAAGTGCAGCACATGAATAAATGAACTTACATTACACCATTGCACTTTGGATCTGACTTTAAGGGGGCGATTTAATCAATAGAAGCATTTTTTTGGCAATAACAACAGAACAGAATCAGTCCAGGGGTGACTTCTGCCTGTTTACTCAGTGAAAACACTGCAACTCCCCCAGGACTCGGATTTCATTGAAGCCAGATATGAAAAAAAAAAAAAAATCAGTTGCTAATAGGACTTCTCTTTCTCTCCTTCTCTGTCTATCTCTTGGCATCCCTCACAAAGACACACACTGCGCTTGTTTGCATGTTTATCGCCACAAAACCTCCCTAAATTTGTGTTGTTTATTCGGCTCATATCTCATTCTTTGCCACCCTTTTTATTCATCTGATTCCATTACACTGGGAGCCCATGTGCAATGCTGGAGCTCGCATTGTTTTTACAAAGATAGCAGCAGCTCAGTGGACAGTCAGACTCCACCTCCATTAGATAATATCACATATGTGTCAAGGATGTGATCAATAATTAATGAAGAAACTCAGAGTTGTTAATTAGCATGAGGCATAAAGCTGCCGCTCTGTATTTTATCCGGAGCGATGAGCACTGTTTGCAGTTACACACTGAGGCAGATGGAGGTGGACAGCTTGAGCAGGTGGTTGTGTTTCTGTTGTGCTGTGGTTTTCAGTGGTTTCTCTCTGGTAATCAACATGATCCTTGTGGGCAAGCAGGAACATCAGTCCATAGGACAATGCTGTAATGATCCATGTACTTATTTATAGTATTTTAAGTGCTCTACAGGAATCCAAAAGACCTTTGACAACAAGAATGTGGCTCATATTGATGGGGAGCAGATGAAGGACAGAGATACAAAGTTTGTGTGTGGTGATGGCATTCTGTAACTCTAATGGCTGTGACTCCTCTTTGCATGCCACCACAACGTTTAAAATCGGTTTTGATGCAGTCTAATGGACTGAAAAATCTCCACACAGAACAGCCTTCTGCAATATGTTGAAGCCACCTGTCACCTCTGATGAGATCAGTGTATCAAGTATTCACACGAGCAAAAGTACTCCATTACAAGGAAAAGTCCTGCATTCACAATCCTGGTTATGTAAAAGTATAGATGTTTTAGTAGCACAATATACTTAAATGCCCACTCTGACTGATATATTAGAAGTCCATGTATTTATTATTGTAACCAAAACAACTGAAGTCAGGTACAGATGCCACCGTAGGGGCGCTATTTCTGGATACACTCCTATGGGTTGTATCAGAAGGTGGAAAAAAAAAGACCTACAGTATATGGTTATTCAGGTTGGAGGACTTGTTGATATATTATCAGATGTTATAGGCTATTTCTACTGAGCAACATGTAGTTTAAGCCGCAATTTACTACTGTAGTTGGTGGAGGTGGAGCTAGTTTGAACTACTTGATATACAGTTTTTACTTCAGTCCTAGTAGTCTGGCCCCTCCAAAGGGTGACAAAATAAATTTGATGGGTTCTGAGATGAATAATTCAGTAGGATAGAAGAAAAACACAATGTTCTGTTGCAAAAATTTGTTGTCATATTTTAGACTCTGAACTGCGTATTTGTTTTTTTTTTTTGTTTTTTTTATGAAGTTTTGGATAATCTTTACCTCCTTTGGCCTCATTTAAATGAAACCATCTGTCTCTTTAGTGGAACTGCTAACAAGCCATAGACATCTAAAAAGTGACAAGACTAACTAGACACTGCTTTTTTTGTACAGACTCACAAGCCAGGAGAAATAAGACAATATACTGTAGGTAAAATCTTAATCTGAAAACTAACTATTTTTGTCACATAATAAGATTAAAAAGTATAATCATTTCTCTCTGATATGTAGTGGAGTACATGAATTAAGTAGCATAAAATGTAAAGGTAGAAGTACCTTAAAAATTTACTTAAATACAGAACTTATATTAAAATATGTCCACCTCTGGAAGAGATCTGTTGTTGTTTTATATGATCATAGTGCATTTCTGTTCAGAATATGTTTCCGACTAATGTGGTTATTTACCTCAATCGGCCCAGTGAATTCTACCTTTTTAAAGAGTGGAAATGTCACACTCCTAATTAAAAGTACACCTGTGTCTTCGTGCACCCAGTGGGATACGCTCTCCATCTCCATACTCTAATTTGCTAGGGCAATGCCCAGTTTGTCTGAGTGCCAGGAAACAATGGGCCTGATTTGCACTTGTATGTTTTTTTCAATAGGCCAGATAAGACAGCTGAACCCTCACTCTTGAGGACACTAGTAGAGCTCGACATTATTTTTGACGTTTGTCGTGATTTCCTTGTTTGAAAATGTGACACGAAGTCCTCCGTTGGTTCTGGGGAGGTAAATACTGTCTCATGTCAAGGATTTGGAGACGTGTTGATTACAGCTCGGTACCTCCAAAATGCTTCTCAATTCTGATTGTGATTCATAATTATTCACTTTATCATGAGTAGATTTTCAATGAGTTTTAGGATTTTAATTCAGTAATAGAACATTCGGCTCCTGTTTTGGATTGGAAATGCTCAAGGAAACCTTTATGGACTGTTTATGGATTAGTTTGGCATTTTGGGTGATACGCTTGTCCACTTTACACAGGAGAAGATTGATACCACTCTCAAGTATGTCTGTTCAATGTGAAGCTGGAGCTTATCTTATCTTGGTTTAAAGAGCAGAAACAGGGACAAACAGCCAGCCTCGCTCTGTTCAAAAATAACAGAACACTGCCAACCAGCACGTCAGAAGCTCAAAAGTTAACATGTTATATCTGGTTTGTTTTACTCTGTTCTGTTGCTGGAACTATTTCTTGATCAGGTCAGTGATCAGTCAAGTTTTGCTATTGGTACATCGTATCTTGTATTGTAAACACAACAATGGCTAAAGCTCTTGGAAAGACTGGTAAGTAAACAGCCGTTAATGCTAATATTGGCTCTGTAGTAACAGCAAAACTTACAAATAGCTCCTTTAAAGGAGTTGTTGCTATTGATACATTGCCAACATTAGCATTAACAGCTGTCTACCAGTCTAGAAGAAACATTATGAGTTCATCATCACACTTCATTCCTTTACTCGCCAGGGGCTGTCTCCAAAAGCAACCTTCTTGTTTTCATCTATTTCTATCACTTCTTTTCTTCTACTGAAGTTAGCATGCTAACCAGCTAGCCCCAGTCCAGTGGGGCTGTCTCGCCACTTTCTGATACTGAGTCACTGTAGCCTCCAATCTGCCCTGAAGAAGTAGCGCTGCTGAGAGGGCATATTATAACCTCTTGTCTTGAAAATACAACAATGTCTCAAGCTCTTGCCAAGACTGGTAAGTTAACAGCTGTTAAATCTAACATTGGCTATGTAGCAATAGCAAAATTTAAAAATAGCTCCTTTAAACAAACAAGATACAACTCACGAGAAAAAATAAAAATAAACATGTTATTGGCTTTAGATCATGATATACATGACGTTTTAGCAGCACAATATACATACCAATGACATGACAAACACTATGTGAAGAATTAACTATATCAAAAAAATTTTGAATGCAAGTTAAAAGACAACCACACAACTTAACAAAAGAAAGATGGATGGGATACTTCCACAGAAAAAGAAAATAGTGTCAACCAATAAATGCCTGAGTGTCTGACAGGCTCAAATAACTATATTTTGTAAAATTCACAATGTATTTTACATATATGTCTAAAATTCCTGAAGAAGGCTCCTAATGAATGCTCTTCTCAGCTCCTGAATTATGCACGCATTTTCTGTAAAACAAAAAAAAAAAATCACATCAGCTTTGACTTGATAGAATGCAAATTTGTGCATTTCCCTTAGGCATTTGAGGGAAAGTAATTAAGCAAAGGACCCTTTGTCTTCACAATGCTTTTTGAGTCATTTCATCGCAGGATAAGAGGACTATCTGTCAAGAGGAAAGCTTTCATGTACCATTGAGTGTGTTGACTTTTTCTAATCTATTGTTCTTCTAGACATTTTCCTCAAAAGTTTTCCAGTGCAGCCGGGAGAGCTGAAGGACAAACTGTTCATCGTTAACGAGGAAGATGGAGGCCTGTCTGATGAGCACATCACCTCTCTGAGGAGGTATGACTTTGTGCCAAAAAACACTGATTTGTATTCATTCCTTATTGTGTCACAAGTAAAGCTGAGAGGTGAATGACTTTTTGTGCCTGAGTCAGTGGGCGGTTAATGTGTGTTTTTCACTGGCAGCGACAAAAAACTTTGGAAACATAGCAGCACAGCAAATTGTCAACAGAGTATGTGAGTACATGGTACAGTTAGGACAATGTGAAGCAGGGGAAACCACTGCCAGTGCATGTGAAGAGGAAACACGGTTTGCACAGCAGTCTTCACAGTGTTCTAATACTAAAGAGCAGATGCCAGAACCTTTTACCACAGCAGCTTACTAATAAAAGTTTTATTTCGTGTTATTTGTGGAGATGGAAACTATTGACATGCCCTCAGGAATATAACACTGAAAGCGGTTAAAATGCTTCCTGATTCTTACCTGACGTTTACTCAGTGGCCCTGGATGCTGACCTCCTGGAAGGCAAGTGATCTAATGTACTGTGTGGAGGATTTTATTTATTCTATGAAAACGTAATATATATTTTAATGCGCTGTGGCGTAAGCCTGAGGAATACAGTCTTGAGAGAACCACTCCCAACAGGTGCTGCAATATTAATGACTAGTGCTACTCCAATGGCACAAAGCCGGGCTCATGAAAAAGTGAATGCCTTTGGTTTGAGGTCAGAACACATGGAAATGACAGGAGGAGGAGGTCCAATTTGAAATGACGGGGTTCAAATTCAGTCCATGTGAGTAAATGGCTGTTCCCATCAGCGTCTCCCGGCTTTATAAAAGCTGACGAGGACCATCAGCACTACTTGGCTTTTAATCACTTGCCTTTCTCCAGGCCACTGGAAATCAATGTTGTGGCATCAGTCCAAGGGAGGGAGATAGAGAGTATGTGATAATAAAAAGGGGAAAGTAATCTAAGTAACAAATCAACAGACCTTTACATATGTTTTTAATTCTTTTGTTGGACTGATTTTTTTTTTCTCTTCTTTAAAAGGCATAAATGGGGCTTTTCAAATATGCAGACCATCAACAGAGCTGCATTGTTTACATGTGTTAATTATGGCCTATATATTCAGCTTGCACAAACCAGCAGTGCAATGCCAGCAGCTGCAGATTTTCTGTGCTGCTGCCTCACCTTTACACATACTGTAAAAGGATACAAAAAGCAGATGAATATACTTTTATATTCATAATTATAATGTAAAATCATTACAATAGGAGCTACATTTTTGACATCCCCTAAATTGGATTGTGAATTGCATTCACACTTGTTACTACCAAAATTCTGAATCTATCACTTGCCAAGGATGTACTTTATCAAACACTGAAAATTTACAGCCAAATGAATATATTTAAGCAGAGGAAATCTAATGCATAACTCTGATGTTCACAAATAATTCCAAAGTAAATCAACATTTGTAAACCTGAAAAAATAAATCTGCATGAGAAATTCATGTGAAAAAAATTGTGCATGTGTCAGAGGGATTTGTATTTGTAAAAAAAAAATAGACTATGTGAATAAAAACTGTGATGATATCAGTGATGAGGTAACACAAAGACACAGTGAAAGAAGAAGTGGTGTTGTCAACATCTCATAGTTTCCACACTGTGTTGGACTCATAACATGCTCCAAAGTTATAAGTAAACATTTTGACCTTGTTTTTACACCTGAATCTAATTGGACAAACATAGTCCAATCACAAAGCAGAGTCCAGTTGGAGGGCAGGTGCTTGCAGATTGTGTTCACACAGTCTCTCTCTACAAACTGGAATTATTTATGAACATCACCTTAGATTTTAAACATGCTCGTTTTCCCCTTAAAAAATAAAATGTACACTATGGGACCTAAATACAGGTTACCTATGTGTTTATTCTTAACCATGTGACAGGTGCCCTTGTGTCCTGTCTGATGTGGACCGAAAAGTGATTTTTACAACATATGATTCCAGAAGGGCACTCTGAATCTGACAAGGCCAAACAATCCTTCACATGTCTGCCAGATCCAAATCATTATCTGGATCTGCACTGAACAGTACAAAGTCAAAGATAAATGTGTGATTTTTTTGACAAGAAATTCCTGAATACACCCCTTAAACCAGCACCAAAATGTAATGTCTTCTTCCCTGGTCTGTGATAAAAAAAAGATTTTTTTTAAACTCAGAGCTTTGATTTTATTGCCCAAAGCTTTACTATTGTGCTTCACTCTCAGCTGTCATCATCATTGTTTTTGGCTGCAGCAGTTTTCCGTGAAAAAGCTATAAAAAACCAACAGTACACCACCTGCCCAGCATCAAACAGCAGACACACAAAAAAAGCGACTAGTCTGTGAACATACTGGAGCATTTTGCAGCTAAAACGCCTGATATTTCCCTCTGGCGTCGGTGGAGACCAAAATCAGAGCTGAAGATAGAGGGTATATTGGTGGACACAAACACACCTCCAAATAAATGAGATTGTTGCCCCGCATGTGTAAATAAGCAACTGTGCTAACATGTTCACCATAACAACTTAAAAGGTGATATGTCAGTCATGTGTACAATTGCTTTTTTTCCACTGACCCCAAGTGGCCAAAATCAGTTACTCAGTGAGTACCAAACAAATGAATCTTACTGTCATTATGATGTAAATGAGTCAGATTTAGCCAAAAGGCTGATTTTCATCTGCAGTCCCTGGACAGGTTGATCCTATACATTAATGACTAATGATGACTATATTTAGTTGGCTATGTTAAGGAAAGGCCCCACAGATTTTTTTCTGTTGGAGGTGGAAACAAAATTTGCTTTGGAAACTGTCAAGACATGTGGCTACACATGACACAGTCACAGTTTCTGATTTAACATATGTTTCATGCCTTAATTGGTAGACAAATTGATTTTCTTTCAAATATGGGGAAAATCACAAAAATAAGTTTAGCATTCATTTGACATGTCAAATATATAATAATCTGGAGCAAATCACATATTAATGAAAATGAGGTTTTTATTTTACTTTTTTCTAAAGTCTGCACAATGCAAATACTGGACCAAGAAAAAGCAACAGATTATTATTTTTCTATATAGTAGAATATGTATCTATCAGAAATGTTGAAGATGTGAAATTCCCGTTTCATATCTGTTTTTCTAGAGGTGTCTTCTTGGATTATCAAAAAGCCATCAAACCCCTCATGACTAATGACTAAATAAAAGGATGTTTGTGCTGTAACCTCATGCTTTGACCGATCCGAAAAAATTCAATGGATTTGTCCTTGGCTCAGCTAGTACTTTAAGTGTTGTAAAGGAAATTATAAACTTCCACTGTGGAGATTAATGGGTTAAAACAAACAACCAAACAAGCCTCACAAAAAGCAGACTAAACATAACAGATACAGCGTAAATGATAGGAAGCCTCTCGAATTAGTTTAGTTAGTTTGAAGTGTGTTCCAGCTTTGGATGAACAGAAAGAAGTAATTTTCTTCATAAATACAGACACAATGGGAGGAGCACAACTGTTAAAGCCCCTGAAAACATAAAGGAATCCAGTATTTCTCTACATTAAATATTTGTGACTAAATAAACAACATCAGAGTTTAAATAAATGAAAATATAACACTCAAAACTCCGCTAGTGTGCTTGTTCTTGAGTGGGTGGCTGTGGTTTGATCAGATTTGACTGACAGTGACCAAACAATCCAACAACTGTCACCAGCTACTGAGCCCTGATGTCAAACCAGTGTGAAGAGCAAATAAATTCAGAAAATATTTCATGGCTGCCATATCAGACCTGTTCTTACTTTGGCAGAAAATGTTGCGTTCATGTAGAAGCCCATCACTTACAGTATAATGGTTGAGAAAATGCATTTCCAAGGCCTTTATCTGCATCTAACAAGAACAGTGATTTTGATATGTTTGTTTTCATGTTGTAGGTATGTCCCCACAGTGGATGATGTGGAAATGTACAAATCCCACCAGGGACCAGTGACAGAACTACATATTGTGGACCAGTATATGATGGAGGTACAGAATATAAATTATGATTACAGAATCAATATTGTAACTTCCTTTCGATCTGACTTGCATCAGCCCGACCAAAGCCGAACGTAATACTCTTGCTCATGTGTCGCTGTCTTTGAGAGAGCTTGTTGAATATTCATTCATGTGGGTGTCATGACAAGCTCTTATACCATACATCTGTTTATCACCTCCCAGCATGCCTGGCAGTCATTTGACCCATGTGTGGTTGGCTCAAGGCTGCAGGGGGCATAGAAGATAAACAGCAGGATCAGCCCGATGGGCCTATCAGGATATTCCATTATGTAAGAGTCAGGGTGACAACTCCTATGGAAACCACATGTGCGTCTGGAAGGCACATGGCTTCAGTGGCAGTCAGCCCTGAATGCTGGTAAATGGACAATATTAACAGGCCTCTTTATTGCCAAGAGCAGCAGGTACTATTCAAATACTGCACTTAATAGAAAGTGAGATGTCATCAGTTGAAGTTGAGGATCAGAGATGATTGCTCACTCCTTTGAGGGCTTTTTTTTTTTTTGTTCTGCAATATTCAGTCATCCCACACACTCTCCCACTAAAACCCATTGAATAATTAAAGAAAATGAAAGGGCTGACACGTTCGTTATGAATCATCATAATTTCACTATTTTATTTTAGCTGATGAAAATAATCATTAGTTGCAGCACTAATTGCACGCGAACACACACATGGTATCAGCATGTTAATATTGTCTTTGCTTGTATGCTGACATTAGCATTTAGCGGTTGCAACATACAGTCTCATAGAGCTGTTAGCATGGCTGCAGGGTTAGGGTTACAGTTGGAAATGGTGTGATTATCTAACAGTTGTGAATAATCACTGTCCTCTCAGCATGTCTGTGGAAGACACAAGAGTGGGATATGAGAAACAAAACCATTTAAGAAAAATGTCACTATATTGAAACACTGACCTTTTCCTTAAATGAGCCATTCAAATCCCAATCATGCTTTGCGGGCTCTCACACTCCGATGTGTAGCAGAGTGTAGCCTCTTCTTGCACTACCAAGTACAGACGTGGCCAAAATCGTTCCTCTCGTACCTTTTCACTCGAAGAAGAAAAGCCACAACTGACAACTAGAATTACCGCCTCATGGTTGTATGCCTCCACCAACCAGCCAAGTTGCAGGAAATATGGTCACAATCTTGCCTTCCTGAGTTACAGCATTGAATAATACCCATAAGTGTTTTTGCAGAACATTATGATGTCACAGGGAAGTTGACCTTTGACCATCTGGATATGAAATGTTATCACCCAAATTTATCGCTATAGAAATTTGAGTTAAATTGTCTCATAATTAGTGGATGACTTTGAGTTATGGCCAAATATCTGTTTTGTGAGGTGACAGGCACAGCCTTCCAGAAGCAATGAAATTCCCTCTGGGGGTTCCTGATATATTGCGTTCACAAGATGTGAGATCACTGAGATTTTGGTGGACAAAGGTCAAAGTTCAAGGTCAAAGTGTAGTTTGTGCCAAATCTAAACAAATTCCCTCAAGGTGGCCTTGAGTTACCGCATTCTAGAGGCCGAAACCGTGTTTTGACCTTTCACTGCCAGAATCTAATCCTACAAGTTCATGTTTGAGTCCGAGTGGACGTGTGCCAAATTTGAAGAAGTTCTGTCAAGGTGTTAATGAGATAGAATGGGACATACAAACATCAAAAACAAAAAAACCAATTGGCATCCACTATTTTCTATTCCATACTTAATAAAACGGACATGTTGCTTTTGATTGTCGATCTAAAATATTATTTTAAATAATACAACAAATGAAAATGGTATGTGCCATAACCTAACATTTTGTAGCACACCCTTGTGAGGGAATCACTGCAACAAACTGTTCTATTTTGTGACTCAACTGGTGGTTTGGCTCATTCTTGTTGAGAAAATTGCTCTAGCTCTCTCAGGTTTGATGCTTTCCTTCTCATTGCCAGTTTCAGCTCTTTCCATAGATGTTCAATAAGGAACTCATAGCAGTCCACTTCAGAGGATCAGTGTTTACTTCTCATCCGTGCTTTCAGGGTATGTTGTATGTTTTTGGGTCATTATCCTGTTGGAGGTATCCTGCGACTGAGATACAACTCTCTGACAACATGCAGTATGTTTTGCTCCAGAATGCCTTAATAATCTTCTGATTTCACAGCGTCCTGCACAGATTCAAGGCCCCCTGTGCCAGACGCAGCAAAGAAACCCCATAACATAACTGAGCCTCCTCCATGTTTCACAGTGGGGATGGTGTAGTTTTCTTTGAAAGCTTAATTTTCTTTCTTCTGTGAACGTCAAGCTGATGTGACCAAAAAGCTCTAATTTAATTTAGTTTCATTTGGCCGTTTGGACATTCTCCCAGAAGCATTGTGGCTTGTCAACATGCAATTTATCAAACTCCAGTCAAGCTTTTCTTTATGTTTCTATTGTGGGGTCTTCCTGCATTTTCCTCAGTGGAGCCCACTTTCTGTTAGAGCAGTTCTGTTCTGTCTTGACCTTGGAGTTCAGCTTATATCTGTTTTGAAGTTTTCCTTGGTTCTTTTTTCCACCGTTCAAACTATTCTTCTGTTCAATCTGGGGTCAATATTTCCTCTTGGGGCCATGTCCAGGAGGGTGGGGTAGGGTCCCATGGACCTTAAACCTCCTAATAACATTAGCAACTGTGGACACAGGAACATTGAGCAGCTTGGAGATGTTCTCATAGCCTTTACCTTAACCAATTATATTCCTCCTTATCTCCTCAGACATCTCATCATCTTCTTTTCTTCCTCTTGTCCACATTCAGTGTGGTGCAGACGATGAATCCAAACAGTACAATGAGGACTTCTCTCCATTTAAACAGTTCTGAATGACGGATTATGAGATTGAGGCAACCTGTGATGTTAATTGAAGACAATGGTCTGGTTGAAATATCACCACAATCCACTGATTCATGTCAATCATTTTGTCCAGGCCATTATAGAAGATCTTTGTAGAATAAGTGAATAATTCAGCTCTCTTCACAGCCTCTTGTTTTATTCTGTGGTGAACTAGAGGCGTGCATAGTATGCATGACAAAAGAGCTTTTAATTTCAACACTTGTCAGGAAGAACAGAGCATTGTTTCATTGAGGTGTAAGGGCACCAACACGTTCAGCCACATCTGTGTATGAGGTCTTAAATCATGCCTGTCATCACTTCACTGAAAATTTAAATCTTGCAGAAATCCTACAAAAAGAGAATTCCCTCTTAAATCTCTAATTTGGTGAACATGAGAGTTTCTGATTTCTGGATCTGAGAAAAAAAGTCAAATACCTGAGAAAAATAAATACCGAAAAATACCTCATAATGTGATTACTCTAAACTCGGTGACTAATGTGTGAACACAGTTTTAGCTCAGGAGGAATTAAAGTATAACGGTGTTACCATGACATGGAATCTTTTAAACTCCCATCACAAATTTAAAATATGTCAGAAAATGTGACAAGATGAGGAGTATGGTGCTCGAGAGTGTGGAGGATGACACATGCTGGAACATTTTCTTTTTTCTTTTTTAATAGATAAATGATTGCATGGTCAGAATTTCTAACACTACTCCTTACACCTCTCCTTAACTATCCATCAGACCAAGTGCCCTTTGGCTTTTAAGAGATGGTATCTGTGCAAGAGTAGCTCGGGCTGACAACGTGGAGTGATTTATTAGAGGTTAGCACCGACACAAAGGTCGACTAGGCAGCTCAGCCAATCGTTTCAAGGTGTCAAGCCTTAAGTTTCTCTGTTAAATCAGCCTGTCGACAGGCCCACAGCGCTCCACTTTCACCTGAGGTAATCTTGCCAAAGTGCTCGAGTCTATGAGAACAAGCTGCAGCCTTCCAGCAACGTTATCTCCCTGCAGCACTGTTTTTAGATAATTCTGAATAATCACATGGAAATAGCTTTGTGCGACGATGTGGTAATTGTGCTCTCTTCTGAATCCACACAGCTTATTACACTCGCATCTTTTTTTCTTCCCCCCTCCCCGATGCAGATGTGCAACATCCCCTACCTGAGCACACAACTCGACCTGCTGCTGAGTCTGAGAGAGCTCCCGATCGGCATGAACGACCTGCAGCCCGTGAGTTTACTCGATCACCTGCAACGGCAACGTCAAAGGTTTAATCAGATGTTGAGCTGCTTTAAAGTCTGGCCCATTCCCACAAGCTGAAAAAAAAAAAGGCTAAAACCACAGGCACATGATGAAACACGAACATGCAAATTTATTCCATAATGCAAATACTAATGTTCAGATACATTTAGAAAAGAACATCTGGGGACAAAGTGACATTAATACATGAACAATTTTTTTCCCCTCCAGTTTGAGTTTTACGTTTGAAGTGCCGACTGAAGTCGTTTCTATTCTATTTGCAGGATGGTTAAGTGTCTTGAAAACAGAAAAGGTTTGAGAGGCACTTTAAGACACCTCTCTTCATTTGACGCAGAGAAGAAAAAGATGGATCTTAATCAAATCAAGTTCCATTTTCCTGTAGATGGTGTAAAACATACAGAAGTTTTTTATCTTCATCAGAAACCCAATGAAAACCCACTTTGGGTTTTTCACAATTTAACTTCATACTGCAAAGTTCTGGCCTCTTGACAAAGACAGGTATTCTTAAATGAATACAGGTAAAATGGTTACAACATATGTATATATATATATATATATATATACAGTATATATCATTAGTCAGACTAATTGGTAACACTCTTATAGAGGATTGTTGTTTATTGGCATTGGGGACTGCAGGGTGTGAAGATATTGCAGTCAGACAAGAATACCTCTCAGCTCCTCTGTTGTTTTTTTTTTTGTTGTTTTTTTTATTTGATTCTCTCAAGCTTCTGTTTCTTTCAGCATCAGTGCTTCAGTCCTAATCTCCTGTCTGCTGACTGTCTGTGAACGAGGAGAAACAATGGATAAGAATGATGGCACTGTAATCCATTGACAGCGACAGTAATTTTTCTTTGTCTAAAACACGGAGACAAACATATTGTGTGTCGGCGAGATGACTCGACAAGAAAGATTAGCAATTTCATTAAGTTTCAATTTACTCTCGGTTGTTTCTTCCTGATGTTGTTTCTCTTTCTACAGCCTCAGATTTATTAAAGAAAAAAAAAAGGGTTATTTTTCGATCAAACTTTAGTATTTGTGTGCAAATGCTCACACAAAATGCATGCTGCTCTCTATAATCCACACTGTGGAGAGCCACTGTCACAGTACATGTTCTTTGAGAGGTTAGGGTCCTCTCTGTCGCAGAATACTTTAAATCCTTTGATTCTCTGACATGACAGGCTTCTTAAGGCTCGAACATTAAGGAGGATTTACTCGCCACCTGACAGGCAGGGCTTGAGGAGAGAAAAAGTAGAAGTCACCACCTGGGGAATGTTTTTCACCTGCAGTGGTGCTTGTTGGTGCTAAAATTCACTGCCAGGATGACAGATTTCACCGTGACCTGGCTCCTTTCTTTCAGCTCTTTGCTGTGCTCTGTCTGCGCCCATTTCAAAAATATAAATAAGAGAATCAAAGACACAGAACCGAAGCCAGTGATGCAGTAGACAGGAAGAACACTGCACAGGGAGGTATCCCCTGAAGCTGTAATTTACCGAATAGCAAAAGCAAATGAAGTTTGATTCAGCACTTTTGTTAATCGCACCTCCATTTTCCATTAAAAGTCATAGTGAAACAGAAGTTAGATCATCGTTAGCCTCTGAAATGTCACATATTTCTTTGTGACACGCAATCTGTGGTCCGGCTGTATTCGATTAAAAGATTTAAACTAACACACCCAGTTTGACTGTTATCAGGCAGTTGAATAGGTGTCATCATTACACATCTGTAGCTGTGTCCTAATTCAGGGGGTGCATCCTTCGCAGGCTGCATTTCGAAGGCTCCTTCAAAGTTGGCCTCCTTTTCTTGGGCAACTGAGGCTCCAGCGGCTGGATCCTTCATGGCCCGACCTATCCCAATATTCATTGTGCTGGTAATGAAGATAATACGAGAGCAAACAACACTGACAGAGAGCCTGACAATTACACTTTTAAATGTATTAGCGTCAGCTCAGCTGAAAAGCTAACGATACAACTGTTAAAAAACCTTGAATCCTCAAGTTTTTGTGAAAAAAAGTTGTGTTGTCAAGGTTGCTAGGCGAAGGGAGCTGTGCTTTGGGACACAACAGAAAAGGTGGGCACAGTTCATGCAAACTGAAAATCCTCCGTAATCTGGACCGTCTCATTTTGGCTCGGCCTTCATGGTCTATGACGAATACGAAGGTCCACACCTTCGTAGACTGCGTCCTCCAAAGGATGTGGCTGCTGAACTGGGACACAGCTTGTATTTATACCATGTTTGCAACTGTTGTGTTTGTTTATGTTGTTAACATTTTGTTAGCTAAGTAACTAACAGCTAACGTTACTACCCTGCTGTCAGCCTGTTGCCACGGTCTTTTTCAGGTTACCGCTGCACACAGGTACATTTGTCGCTTACTAGTTGCCTGGCAACCAAAGTACTGTGTCACAGCAAGGTCGCAATAATCTGACAGCCTTTTAATATCAAAAAGGTTATATTTTCTATTATCTGTTTAATTGGGGCTTGAAGTGAGAGACACAAAGAGAGTGCCCACGCTCAGATTATGTAGTTTCGCATGTGCCAAATAATTTTTTTCAAATTTACACAAATACACATTTTTACTGAACATAAACATATGTTTTGTAAACATAAACATAGGCATACATATAAAAAAAACATCTTTGATTAGACATTCACAACTTTTAGTTTTTTGAAAATAATGTTTTGAAAAAAGTTGATAACCAAAGCACTTGCTTGATAACAGGCCTTCTGCGCCTACTAGGCTCCACCCGCACTGGCTCGGGTGATAACAGCCTTGCGAACCTACTAGTAGGTTTAGTATGGCCATACTAACTAACTAATATTTGAGACAGATGTGTAATGGTAACGCCTATTCAATAGCCTGATAACAGTCAAACTGGGTGACACAGATGTGTCATGGATCTGTGGTTTGGCTTCCATCTTCATTAGCCCTGTTTGGGACTGTGTCATGGATGGTTCCCATAGAAACGCTCAGGGAAGAGGTTTTGTGCTCCTCTTTATCACAGGTGGGGAAATTCATACTTCATTCATTTACATTTATTATACTGGACGTGTTTTCAAACAATATTTAAAAGAAAAGACTTCAAAGATGAGGACTAACTGGTTGGTTTGGCAAATGCACGTCTCACTGACCTCCCCACCTCAAGTAAAGAGCAGTGTAGAGCCACTCATCAGGGACTGTCTGCACGCAATGGATGAGACAAATGCGGTTAGTCTCCACTCACACCTCCCTGAACCCGTACTGCTAGATCAAGAGTTGGAGAAAGAGTGAGATATTAAAAAATTAGAGCACAACCATGCTGTTTTGGAAATGTAATATAGCTCCTGCCAAATGAAATGTCAAACACACACCTCCTGCTGATGATATTACTTCGCTAGCTTAGACCATGCATTGCGATGACCAAAGAGCTAGCAGTCAAGTTTTGACATGATGGGAGGGGTTAGCTTGCTGCTCCACATCACATTTGATTGGATGCATTTATGAGAGATTTTGATAGAAAACCCTGAAAAAAACACAAGACTAAAGCAGGTTACATGGGCTGCGCTGTTTCAGTTATCTGTTATACAAACTACAATAGTTTGGCATGATGGTGCAGATGCTCCTGTGCAAAGCCAGTTGATATAATGTGGCTGGATATCTACTTTCTCTTCTGTGTAATTGAGACTGTTGCACTGGAAGTTATTGTTAAAACAGGAGCATATGGTGGGGGTGTTGTAGCTGGCTGGCACACACCTTATTTGGAATGGCTAACTCTTTGTCAAGGACTACGATTCCCAAAGCTCAACTCTTTTCTCCAACACACCACTGGCAAAATGAAAAATCCCATTTTCGTTTCTTTTCAGTTTTTCCAGTACGATTTCTATCCATATTCAACAGGATCTGTTCAGAGCTGGTTAAGCAGGGAAATTGTGTGATATTCTAGAGGGATACTTGTACTTGACACAATTGCATACCAAATAATAATCTTGCCAAACAACAAGGCCCTGATTATTCATTTCATGAGGTCAAATGAGGTGTTGTGAGAGGGCTGTTTATCTTTATAATGTAAAATACTAAAGCCTGGAGTTATTTTTGTCCACGCTGTCAGCACAGACAACCCCAAAACAAGCTTCAGCCTCATTCCACTTAAATTTCATGAAGTTGTTGCGCGGAGAAATTAATGCAGGAGCCAGTATGTGGTTGGATTACAAAACAAAATGACTTTGCTCTGTGTCCCTGTGTTTGTCTTGCAGCTGATTAACCAGAAGATCAGAATGTGCATGCAGCTGTACAACTGTAGGTCATTTGTTTCCGTGCTGGAGTACCTCCTTGCCATTGGCAATTACCTCAACGAGAATGCCGGAAAGGAAAAGGCCAAGGGATTCCGCCTCTCCTCCTTAACTAAAGTACGACTCCACCACTGTTGCCTGACCTTTGATTGAGTTACAGCACTAGGCTAATAAGACTACTCATTGATATACACAGCAGGGCTTTTGTGCATCTTCTTTCAATTTTCTGCCTGTTCCCGTCACTCAGGTTCACTTAGGTCTATGACACTTTGACACAATCATTCGGACAGTTGTGTGATCGTGTCACTGCCCGTCTTCACAGGAGAAATTAAACTTTGGCCAAAGTGTGGCCATAAGTTTTAGAATCATTTCGAAGTGATCCATCATTAACTGCACAGCCAGCCAGTGATTCTCATTGAGCCATAAAGTCTTGTTTTCTGGTTTATTTAAAAGGTGTAGTTGGACAATTTGGGAAATATGGTTTGGTTTTTCTTCCAAGATTAGATGAGAAGATCAATACCACTCTCATGTTTGTCCAGTAAATATACAGCTACAGCCAGTGCTAACTTTTAAGAACTTAGAAGAAATAGTTCCAGTACATTACTTGATGTAATACCGTAACTTGTTATTGTTACACATCAGTTTTTGAACAACCCTAACATCTAAAAGTAAAAATCTTATCAGATGGGGGTCCATGATCTAATTTGTCAGTTTAAGGGTCCTTGATGTGAAAAAAATTGAGAAGCACTGAACTAGTGAGCTTTAGAAGTAGTGCTAAGCAGATTTGTTTACCAGCACCTCCAAACCTCACAAATTAAAAAGTTAAATCTCATTTGATTAATCTCTAAAAAAAAAAAAAAAAAAATCAAGGTATAAAGACGATTATTTCTTGGCCAGGATCAGTAATTTCCTGAAGTCTCTGCTGGTTATTGAGCAACCTCACAGTGACAGGAAGTCACTGCGTCTGGCCAAGAAACATTATCACCAAAAAACCACATCATCTTGTTTTCATTCCCTCGAATTTTGTATGTAAGATTAGGTTTGGGGAAGGATTGTGGTTTAAAATAAGTACTTCATTATCGTTAGAGGACCTTTGTCGTTATGGTTACAATATTAAACACACCATTAAGGTTATGGAGCAGTTGTAGTCCAAAGAAACGAAAATGAGAGCTATCGGTTTCAAATGGGAAATGAACAGAGGTCTCCCAACCTCAAGGTCCTGTATTTTGTTGACTCATCCATCGACCTGACACAGACTCCTTTTTAAAACATCACCTGGCTTCCTCCTTTGCACCAGTCATAATCAACGTGGCCACGACAGGTTGCCTGACAATCAAACGTAATATGGCTCGTAACCATCGGGAAGTAGAGCCGGTCTTCCACTAATCAGAAGGTCGGTGTTTAGATTCCCGGCTCCCTCTGCCCACATTTCGTGGGCAGGATACTGAACCCCAATTTGCCCCGATGTGTCATTGCTGTGTGAATTGTGCATGCATGGTAGAAAAGCGCTGTAGGAATGTGAATGGGTGAATGGGTGAATGTGGCTTCCATTGTAAAGCACTTTGAGTGGTTTTTAAGATGAGAAAAGCACTACATACAGTACGTGCAGTCCATTTAATAAGCTGCTTGCACAGACGACCTGTGTGCTTGTTTTTTAGAGCATAGTCTCATCTATCGGACAGAGTGGTATCGATTGACTCATCTAAATCTCAGCAATAAAGCAAATAAGTATGTTTCCCAAAATTATTCCTTTTTTTCCACTGTTGTCAGGGGCTTGTGAGAGTATTTTCTTTCCTTCCTCTGAATGTAGTCTGAACCACTCTTTTGTGTGCAAGACTATCTACTGGAAAGCTTTAAGGGCCAGTGCTCTTGGCACAGAGGAAAAACGTCCTGTGCCCCATTTAATGAAGCTGAGGCCTCGTGACTCTCAGAGGTGTTTCCAGGTCTAATTGAGAGGAGAGAACTTTTGCTGCTTGAGACAAACTCGTCAAATTAAAGGCTCACTGCTTCCAAGAAAAATGCATCGAGGTTAGCGCAGATATATTTGTTAGGGGTTCTTGTGTTTTTTTTACTTGTGAGCATCAATACTTGGTGCATGTCTTGTATATGTAGCCCTCAGAGGCTTTGCCTGAGCCTTAAATTGGTAAACAACATAACCCAGAAAAAGACTATGAGTGCCTATCACAGGATTATAGAGGTCCCTGTTGCATTTCAATTATGTGGCACCATCAAGTGCAACATGGCTAGAATTTTAGAGTCGTCATTACCATTTTATACAAATATAATATAATATGAAAACAGTCACAGTTACTGCTGCTACACTTACTGCTGTCCACTGCCACTATGAGTAATAATAAAAATAGATAAATAACAAAACCCTTTTACAAGCTCCTTTACAATTAGAACAGAGTAAGTGTATCCACTGAATTGTCACCCTATTCTTTCCCCGACCTTCAGTGAAGAAGCTGCATTTTTTGCAACAGCACAAACAGGCATAGATGTAGAGTGCACATATGCCTTCTTTCCTTTGTGTTATAAGTCCTTGTGCTGTGTGGCAGGGGAGTACAGGTTTGTATAGGCTTCGCCCTTTTTTTTACTCTGTGTTTTCTCCATCACCAGCTCGCCCAGCTCCGTGGGAGAGACAGGAAGTTCACCTTGCTCCATGCCCTTGTGGAGCAGATCATGTTGCATGAACCGTGCTTGGCCACTTTTACCGAAGAGCTGGCAGAATTTGAAACTGTCCCTGGAGGTACTTGCTAATCAAGATTTGATCAAATCCGAAAAAAAATCGGTGTGGTTCTTTTCAATCGAGATTTGTTGAGTGAAACGTGTATTTTCTGTGTGTGTTTCTGTTCTTTTTCTCTCTGTTTTGGATAGCTTCCATCAAGGGCCTGACCGCAGAAGTAGATGGTGAGTAGATCACATTTTACTACTGAGTCCAAAGACTGTTGCTCTTAAATTTGCTGAGACCGGTGTAATACCGACCCTCCTTTTTTTGTGCTAACTCAAGTTATTTGTGAGGAAGTGTGATAGCAACATTTACTAGATCTTTCTGTAATTGTAGTTTCAGTATACTTTTTTGATTGTCCAGGGACTATTCAGGCTCAATCCAATATATTGTCTATGTGTTGACTTACAAACAGTTATCACAAGCACAAATCCAGAAACTTCACAGGATCACACAGGAGACAGCATCTGATTTAAAGCAGCTATTTGCTTCAGCGCTCAAATATGATGGATGGTAACCAATGTGTGTGTGTGTGTGTGTCTGTGCGTGTTGCTTCAGTCCTGAAGAATGAACTGCAGAAAGTCATTCAGTACAGAAAAACTTCCAAGAAGAGAAATGCTGGAGCTCATCACCCAAACTTCTCCAAAGACCTGAAGGTGAAGTAGCAAACACTTTAAAGGTCTCTTGTAAACAAACATGGCATGTTTCACACTCAACAAGCTGCCTACAACCCTATTCTTGCAGCTGCTAAAGGTGAGGCTAATTTAAACTACTTCATACACTGCTGAGTAGTTTAATCTATAATAATACACCATAATTTAATGGTTGATGATGTTTTGTACCAATAATCGAAATCTGCAAAGTAACTAGTTACTACAGCTGTCTGAGTAAGAATGCTGTAAATACATAAAGAAAAGTTAAAATTGCCTTATTAGAATAACTGTAGCTATTACCCAGTAAATTCAAACGAGAGATAGAGTAATAATTTTGTCTCTACATTCAGTTGCTACATCCATTACATGAATTTGTGTTTTAATCCTCATCAAAACATTGCTCTATAGTGCTATACTGCTAGTGGTCAAAAGCTCTAATTTAATGATATAAAAAAATATAACTATTGGGTCAGTTAGTTAGTTTTTCATTATATAGTTCGACCTTTTTGGATATACTCTTATTCTGTGAAGATTCATAGCACCCCCACATTAGCTGTTTCCTGCTGCCTCGGTGTTTCTCCTAAACTAAGATAAGCTGAGGTAATCGACCCCTGTCTCTAGCTTCATATATAGTGTATAGACATGACAGTGGTAGCGATCTTCTCATCCAACTCTTGGCGGAAAAAAGCGAAGAGGCATATTTCCCAAAATGACAAAATACTGCTTCACATTATTGTGCTTTACAAAACATGACAAAGACGTATACTGTATAAATCATGCAAATCAAAATCTACTTGTTTTGATCGTTGGCAGCCCAATATGACTTTGTCACCATTTAAAAATCTTAAAAATCTAATATTGAACACATTTCCAGATAAGTGATCTTCTATTTTTCTGACCAGACACCTTCTCTGCCTTCCTTCATGGTAAATAAAATATAAAGCACACAGCTATGTCCAGTCCAAAAATGCATTGTGTAGGGTAGGTCCCCTGTATTCTAAACCTTTGACTACCACAATCAGTTTGAGCTGTGATTGATTGATTGGATGAATGAATATATGAATGGATCTCACCAGGAGTTCCCTTTGCTCTTCTCTTACACTCCAGACAGCGATTGAGAAGTTCAACACGGATCTCGCAGCACTGACAAAGACTTGTGAGGAGATGAAGAAACTCTACTCTGTCATACTGGTAATTCTTGAGTTATTATTTCAATATCTCTTTTGCACAGCCCCAGAGATGGATGGTCCTCTGTTCCGGTAGTGTCTAGATGGCCCTCCTCAATTATTTGTGATCTGATCTTCCCACCCTTCACTGGGAGAGTACATATATTTCAAAGGAAGAAGTCCCCAAGGTTACATCTTTTGCACCAGGTGTCCTTGAGGTCTTACATGGGGATTTAATGCATCCGTTAGAGGATGTATACCCATGTCCTACACATCATTTCACAGCAAGCACCGCTGATTTACAGCTTTGAAATATGTTATGCTCAGTCCCTTGGATAATTTCCTCAGGATTAGTGAACAATCTCCACTGTTTCCTGTAGACAGAGAGTGTGAGAGACGAGTTCATCTTGACTCTTAATGTGCAATGTCACTTCCATGAATGGTCTACGAATGATTTAAGGCGAGAGACTGTAAGAGCACCTGTGGTGGCTTTCTGATATGGTTTTAATAAAAGCAATGTATTAGAGCACAAGGACACATACAGCAAGTTTTTTTTTCTTTTTTGGAGAAGTTACTCATTTTTTTCCCATTTAGTGATATCTCATTGAAAGTAAACCTGTATCATGTTAGAATGCATTAATTCATACTTGAATACTTTGATTTAAGTGCTCTCTAATGTTGGCTGGATTCTCTGAGACTAAACTTACTAACAGCCTTTACTGAGTTTTGTTGAGAACTAAGCATTAGTCTCAACATCAGATCTCTAAGACAGAAAACTCCTTTCGTTACACATATCATCAGATTTAGTGGAGGCACTGGTCCCTGTTCTTTCATCACACTGCCTATGAAGGAGAACATTTTCTTTGCTCACTAGCCTGGTTAGATTAGGTTTATAGAGCTGAGGCCTATTTTCTGACATCTTAACAGGTGCTATGTTTTTTTTATAGAGTCCCCACCAAAGACAATCAATACGAAAAGTGGTGCCTATTTTCTCACCTTTCCCATATCTCTATGGACAATCCATCATCATAGAGAGTCCACTTATCCTTCTTGCTGTGTTTGTGCACTGAGATATGATGGCATGAGATCTGAGCTTTAGGGCGGGTAGGGAATTGTGTTATAGCAGGCCCACAATTAGATTCGTGTGTTCTGCAAAATTTTCCCCACAACTCACACACAAGTAAGCAAAGGGATGAGGTTACTGAACACAGTCAATGTGCTATAAAGTACAAGTACAAAATAATAGGGATAGCCTTCTGGTACTCAGTTGCAGGCCAGTTGTCACAACCATCAATGTCATTGGTGTAGATTAAATAAGAGAAACAAATAAGGGGTAATGTTGGGGATGTTAGGTCTATTGTCGAGGCTTCCACAAGCTAAAGGAGTAGTTTGACATTATGGGAAATGCACTTATTTAAAGCTGTAACCAGAAGATGGTTAGCTTAGTTTAGAATGAAGACTGGAACTCCAATAAGACGTGTATTGGTTCTCACTGAACTCCCTTTAGAGTCCTCACATTTGTCTTTTAAAATAGCTTGCAGATGTGTACTTGGACAGCTGTGGACACCACGGAAAATGGTGACTATGTATTCTGCGCATGTACATTACGAATCTTATCAAAATGGCGACATCCATGCAAGAAGAACTACAACACATTTGGTTGTCTTCGTATTCTTTTACAGATGAATTGTAGAGGTGAGGTTAGCGGCAGACACAGCCTCTTCAAACTCAGTGTCCAGAGCCTTGCACCCTCTGATGATGAAAACTCTAGCGGACCCTCGCTGACTTGTGGATGATCAAAGGGAATTTGCCCACAAATATTACCTGTCGTGTTGACTAGCATTATTTCAAGCTGTTACGAGTCAGGAATGTTGTAGTAGATGAAGGTTAGCATTCAATTTGGGCAGGAAATCTGGGTCCTTTGAGGGCGAGGCTTTGCAGTGGTATATCCTCATGGTGGATCTGTTTTTAGTCAGCCTAATGTATGAACGCATCTGTAAATAAAAAGGACTTGTTATTTAAATTTTTGAGGAAACGTGTCTCATATGCTGATGAGTGAACTTCCCTCCCTGGCTGGAGCATCTTATTTACTGTAGGAATAATATCCAATCTATCTCTTGGTAAGAAAGCAAACAATCATATATTTTCCAAAATGTCAAACTATACCTTTTAAGTGAAATATCCCCACAAGTTAAATTCCATATTATTCATTATTCTTAGCAGAAACCACTCCTCCAAGTATTATTAAAAGCAGACTTGGCTGTGGCCTTTTAAAGTTTAACAATTTGACCTTTAACTGTAGTGTCCCCTGCCCCTTCAGGCTAGGAGTTATATTTTTAATCACCAGGCAGTGGTGCCAAAGTTGGACCAATAGAATCATGATATATTTGATATATAGTTCAGCTGATTTCCTTTTTTTTTTTTTTTTTACTCTAATTAATAATAAACTTACTTTTTGAATTGTAGCATCCCTACTGGGCCATTCTGGGTCTACATTAAATATCAGAGTGCCATCAAGCATCAGTCCTCAAAGTTTAGTCAAAATCTGACCAGTGGCACATGAAGATGGAAATTCCCTTGCCCCCCTTTGATATCACTTTGTGGGGACCCTGTTCCTATATTGTGTGTGTGTGTGTGTGTGTGTGTGTGTGTCTGTCTGAAACATTGTGAATATACAATAAACCCCCTTAAGCAACACTGGAGAAAGTGATTGAGACTGACTGGGCTGTTGTGTTTTGCGGGAGAGCAGCAGGTTGGGGAAAAGGCGTCATATTTAGTCACATCTTGTCACAGAGGAGAATTCATAGTGATGTCCTTGAATAGCCAGCATGCAAATTTATGAAACATAGATGAGGCTCATGGAATTTTTGAGGGGTCGATTTTGGAGAGGTCTTTTTTGTAGTTGTTACTCTGGAGGCATGATTTTAAAAACCACTCAAAGCATTAAATGGAAAGAGACATTTTATATTACTACATTATAGTGTGTTATAAACCATTTATTAAATGTTTAATCTGTATAGTGCTTATAAATACTAATGGGGGGGATTAAAGTGTAGCTTTAACTTTTATTTTTGCATATATGTTTGACTGTAGTTAGTTAAAATATAATTGATTTACTTTAAATGTATTTTTAATACATTCTGCTAGTGACATTGCTGGATTCAGTATACCAATTATGCATGTCTGATGCTTGGAGATAAAGGAGCGCCGAATAATCACAAACCTTTTTTTTTTCTTTTTACTTTGTAGCTTAGCGTCTACCGCCACGGTACAATACACATGCAACCAGTGCAACCAGCAGTCAATCTAATTATCCTTCTTATCCTCACTCGTTAAAATGGAAACACATTGAGATATACAACAAGCACAGCCTTTATGTCTCCCACAGCCTTACTTGAAGTGTGATGGTAGATTTGATATTTTGGGAATATAATGCAATATCTGATATCTGATTTGAGAGTGTAATATACTGTAGAGAGGACAAAGTGTTAATAATCAACTGACATCTGCCTCTTGCTGTCAAAACAGACGTTTTACACCTGTGTAAACCTTTCAGAAATGTCAGGAGTCACAGAAATACAAACATACTCACTGTCAGCCATGGGCGTAGGTTTCGTTTGAACACTGGGGAAAGGGGCACATTAAGCGAGGGGTCTGGGTGTCCTCCCCCAGGAAATTTGGAGCATCTGACACTTTAGTTCCTGCATTCTGCTGAATTTTTATGCACCAATTTGTGCCTTTTCCTGCATCACTTTATGGTGGAAATGCCTCATAAAATGGAATATATTGCAATAACGCTTTCAAATTCAAATGTCCAAACAAATCACATGTTGCCATCTCTTGGTTGCATAAACCATGGGAACTGAACATCTACAGCAAACAGTTATACGGCTAGATTTGGTGGCAAGAGGCTCTGCTGTTTGAGGGAGCTCTCACAAAGTCAGAGTAATGGAGAAGATTAACAATGAGAAGTGTCAGGTTATAATAGTAGCAATGTACACCTGCATGGATATTATTGTTTCTGACTAGTCTGCTGATAGCCAATGACTGTGAGGCATGAATGAATCAGCTAATGCAAGATCAACGTCAGTGCTCTGCCTGATTAAACTCTGTGCTTCATCAGATCAGTCCCAAAGACAAAAACTACCATGTGCACAAATTCCAGACTTGACTGCAAAAAGTCCAAAACCGTTGCCGATACCAAGCTACCGCGGCAAACTGGCTGATTTGCCAGAATCTCTTTCTAATGGGCTTTGATCCTTTGAAAAGTTTTTTGGTTTCACCCTTGACTGCTGGTGTTGATCCTGGCCTCAAGAAAAACTCAATCTGTCCAAAACTAAATGCTATGACGATGAATACTAATTCTTAAAGGAATAGTTTGACATCTTGGGACACATACTCATTTACTGACTTGCTGAGAGTTAGACGAGATGGTCCGTGCGGTTAATATGAAGCTACAATCAGCAGTTGGTTAGCTTAACTTAGCTTAGCACAAACACCAAAAACGGGGAAACAGCCAGCCGGGCCTGTTCAAAAGTTAATAAAAACTGCTAACGTGCAACTCTAAACCTCACTAATGAGCATGTTATGTCTTGTTTGTTTAATCTGTACAGTTTTAGCAAACAGACCTGAGAGTTGTACGGTTTTTTCTCTTTAAACTCTTGGCAAGAAAGTGAATAAGTGCATTTCCCAAAATGTCAAACTATTCCTTTAAGGCTGTAAAATATCATCACCTTGGCGATTGCACTATACTGTAAACTTTATAGTACATGCTTACTTATCAGCAATCATATCCACATATTAAGAAAATGTAGTATGTGATGGCATTTTTAAATCTGTAAAACATAATAAGGAGTAAAGAAACTGAGGAGCGAGTGGCAGCTGCAGCTTGAGCCTGAACTTCAGGCTGCACTGTTGACGGCATACAACAAGCCAATTAGTTCACTTAGCCATCGCGACCCTTTCTGATAAAGTCTGACTTGAGAATTGCTAACATTTTTATGCTGGCGACCCTTAACCACGAGGTGTAAGTGTTAATTCAGCAGTACACGTCTACCTCATGGTATGAGTGGACTCGATGAATGGATTGCATGCTGAGGCAGTACATGAGGTAATTATATCAAAAGACCATTGTTAAGAAGAATATGCATGGCCTAGGTGCTGGTTCACTGATGAAAGTGACTTCAGTTGTTAATTGTAAAAATAATTTTTATGAGTTCAAAGGTGTTGGGAGGTGTAATTGATATCAGACTAAAGTTTTTAACTTCCAATCATTCTTTTTTCCTCTCGTCCAGGTTAAATTTGGAGAACCGGCGAATCAAGACTCTCAGGATCTCTTTGGGTTGATCTGTCAATTCGTCCTCGACTTCAAGAGGGCACATGCTGAAACTATATGAGTTACACAGTATGAAGTAAATATTAGTGACCACTGGGACTACAGTGAAGCTTACTGAGCAAACAAAGTTATAGTCACTATTCCGAAATAAGAATATTACTTGATATTAGAAATAATAATAATGATGAGTTGGGTTGGATTGGATTTAGAGTATATTTTCTATATTTTTCCCCTGTTTTGTTGCACAGATATTTCAGTTTACAATGTGCCCTGGATGTGATTAATTGTATAGACATAAGAAGTGCACAGTGATGCTCATGCACCTGAACAACAGATGCTGAAATCAATTTTGTGAATATAAAACTGATCAATGCTGAGTTATTTCATGTCAGAGATGGGCTTGATTTGAGTTGACAGGAGTTAACATAGACAACACTTGAGAGGCCAGCTGGTGAACTTCGGGTTTGTGATTATTCTGAATATGTAATCTTGCTGTGGTCAGGGACATTTGCTCTCCCAGCGCTGCAGGAGGAGCTCCAAGGCCACCTCTGATTCAGGACCACATCTGCACTTTGGAAAAGTTGCACATTTTCTCATGCAAAAGCCAGAAGAAACCACCAATTTTAATCAAAACTTTGGTGATTTTTTTTTGAGCAGGAAACACTCACAACTATTTCATTAAATGAAATGAATTATTTCCCTCACAGAGCTTTATCTTATTTTTATTTTTTTTTATTCCAATTTGTCAGAGTTGTAGCTGGATGGATCATTAAGGCTTATTTATTTATATATTTCTAGACATTACGTCTTTGTGCCGCTTTTGAAATTAAAAACAGATAAGTAGCTTAACCTTGAGCATGTACACAAAATCAACGCTAAAAGTCACTTCAAATTGTGCAGATCTCCATTTTCTTTTAGTTTGGAATTAATTTCATTTTTGAAGAGAATCACAGACACATAAATGCAATAATTGCGCAGTTATTGCCCCTTTGTTATACGTGACAATCAGTATTGTGCCACTTCGTTTCTCAAGCATTTTGTTGCAGGAGGGTTAAACCTCTGTTTGTATGGACTCGACACTGCCTTTTACTTTCGATTCTCCAAGTCATCACCTAGTTTTTAGGGGGTTTGTATAAAAACAAGGTGTCATATCTGATTTTTTCCCTGCACATGTACAAGTTTGTTTAAATGACAGGATATTTTATTCCATTTGATATGCATTGTAAAAGCTAAATTACTTTCCCTTTTTAAAGCTTCCATATTATGTAATATGAGATTCATGTATTTTCTATGCCTCCACACCGGCGACAGCCATGAATGACGTTTGGAAATCAATCGATACACCTTAAATGTCATTACTATAACTTTCATCATTTCATTTGTTTTTATTACCTCTCTTGCATGACGGACATCCCATTCTTGTGAACGGCATATCTCAGTAACGCATTGAATCAGTAATTCTAGTCTTATTATAAAGCATAGTCTAAGTTCTATATTAATACTGTGAAAGTATCAAAGCACTCAGTCCACAGAGAAATGCACACAGCCTGTATTCAGAAACTTAGCCTTAAAACGAGCTACCAAGACTTCTGTAACTTTGTGATGTCATAACAAAGCAGTCACCACTCTCAGCCATTCCCCAAGCCCAGCCCATCTGCACACACCATTCCAACCTTGCAGGATTTGGTTTCTCTCAGTGTTTACCTGAAATCAGCTATATTTTTATTCGATCACTGAGAAAACAGTCAGCCAATCAGAAGAGAGGTTCAAAGTCTCTCTTCTGATTGGCTGACTGACCTATTGTTGCTAGAGCTCCAGAGAGAAGCCTGAGAGAGGAGATGTAAAACTACATTGAGATGACTACTGATTCTTAAAACCACAAATATATTTTGTTATGGATATCAACACTTACAATAAAACACTGGTGGAAAAGTGGAAAATATGGGACCTTTAATACACAATCAGGATGTATAAACAACATCAGTGGTTTGAATTCCTCATCTTTGAGCAAGCCACTTGTGACTTCTGTGTTCCAGTGGAGAAAGTTCATTAGCCAGCAGCTGGAGCTGGAGGCTGCTGGTGTGAAGGTGTTTGCGTTCATTATTACCATTCCGACTGTGAGAGCAAAATTTGGCTGCGGAAAAACATTCACACATAACCACCTCTAATGGTTTGTGAATGTGTGTAACTGATCTAAAATATGTCTCACATCTGCTTGAAACCATCTGTTCATCTCATCTCCAGCTTTTGTTCATGTCTTCATGCTTTCATTGCACGCCGACCTCTCCAACCAGCCTTTTTCTTCTTCTTCTTCTCTTTTATTTCCTAAATCGTCATTTTCAATCAGCTTACAATACAGTTGTGTCAGCAGCCAGAGGCCTCTCTCACAGCAGGCAGTCATAAAAGCACAGATGTTACTAAGACAAACAATTGTGGCTCTGTTCTATTCTGTCCCACTAAGCCACAACAGTGAGCCAGCATGTACAATACCTGGACCCTGCATCCGAAGCAGCTAAATTGCATTATTTTTTATCAATGCAGCTTAATTGCATTAATGTTGTACTTCTCCTACTGTGACATGTCAATGTGATTTCCTGTTGTGTTGGAGTTCTGCTCACTGAATTGTTAACCAACTTTATATAGTTTCTTAAGAACAAACAGACACATACTGAATGCAAAACTGTATGTGCTGCCATGTTTGAATTCATTTCTATTTTGGGATATGTTTGTCCTGAGTATTCTGCTTCTTAATTGGCATCTGATGGAATAAAACAAATTCACATTGAACAAAAGTAAACTTGTTCATGGTCACATTTCAACAGCTTTAGCCAACCTGACTATTACTTTAAAGCTGCTCTAATCAATATTTTTTATATTGATAATGAGTCAAATGATTATATGTAATGTGAAATGTGTCACTTATAGTAATGAACCCAGAGAGAACTATCACCTCAGCTCTATGGAGTGTTTTAGTGTGTTTGGCTTCCTCGGGCAAAACTTTACTGTTTTGTTGCACTCTTACACTGGGAACACACTACCTGCGGCTCGCTCCATAGAGTTTGGCTTGAATAATGGGCATCAGCAGGCTACTCGAATGTTGGATTTCTATTCATTATAAATTAATTTCTGATTTATTTTTGACAGAAAATGCCAATAAAATATCACTGAAACATTCAGATTTAACTGAGACATTGAAACTGAATTTTTTATGTAATGTTGCTCATATGATGTCAATAATACTCACCAACAGGTCTTTTCCCTGTCTATTTTTGCTTGGAACCACACGCATCACGTGTGAAAAGTAGGTGAGACGCCGAACCTCTAGATCGAGATGCCCGTCTCACGCAGGCAGTGTCAGCTAACATGGGCGCTGCATTAAAAACCAAGATGTTCCACAGCCGCCACCTTCCTAGCCTTACTGCTCTCATTAATTCCAGTTCCAGGTTGCTATTTTCCAAAATAAAAAGCTCTTATAAATCCAACAGTACCAAACAACAAAGTTAGCAACTGGCTGGTGAACATAGTGGAGCATTTAGCAGCTAAGAGTTAATATCTCAATGTTATATTTACAGCATGTCCCCCAAACTCACCAAAAAAAAATCATTTATTTGATTAAGGAATCAGCAGTAAAAGTGTGTTTTGCTCAATGGATGATGAAAGACTCTTTGATGTGCACAAACCTGAGCAAACTTCTGCTTCAGTTCACCGAGGTTGTGTACAAGGACTGCGACAGAGACTGTAAATTTCACCATATTTTGGTGGAAATACAAGTAATGAGCGCACAGATAGCCAGCAGAAGAGATTATGCTGGAGAGTGGTTTGGGGGATGTTTTTATAAATTTCTCTCTGCTTTAAAAAGTTTTGTTCTGCTGTAGCTGCTGTGAATCCAGGCTGATCACAGCCTGCAATCTTCACAAGGAAGCAATCTGCGAACATTTTGCTGCTACCATTTAGGTCTTCAAGGCTTCAAACTCAAATGTAAATTGAATAGAGTCTGGGTGATATTGATTGGGACACTTTCTAAATTGTTGAGCCAATCTCTGAAAATCTGCACTGCTGAAATGTTAAAATTTCCCTGTCAAGGATGGCAGGTGCCTCAGTCAGTGATTGACAGTTTGTGTCTCTGATTTCCTTTTTACCTATTGCTTATTTTATGACTTTGAAAAGCGGTTCATGCATTACTTCAGATTTATGTTTAATTAGTTGTAAAAGTCTATACAATGACAGCGTTAAAATGAGCCCGCGCCTTTTTGAAGATTACCAAAGCCGCTCATTATGTGCGACAGAGCTGTCCGACATGGTCAGTGTGTTATATGAAGAGTGCATTTTCTCCTTTTGACTACTAATTAAATTCTTTAGAGACTTGTTCTTTTTATCAAGACCCAGTGGTGGGTCTTCATGTTTTTTTTTTCTTTTTTATTTGTACTTTACAGATGATAAAATGATCCAACTCTCCAAGTCAGAATGCATTTTAAGAGGGAATAATTACTGGAGGCATCGGGTAAAATATTAATGTGATTTATTTCCTATCAGATAAGAAGAAAAAATATTTATCAGAGACATTGTTTCACCTGGAGGGTAGGTTTAGTAGCAACATAGATCGCTGTACACACACACACACACACACATACACACACACAGACACACGATCTGATGAAAGGATTTCTCCTTTGACTGGATTTCTAATCATTGAATTTCTGAACTTCAGCTCAGCCTGACACTGTGACACATGAGTGCTTGCGATGATGTCATGTGTGTTCCTTGGTTTTCAGCACAGGGACCCCAAGCAGCATTGCCGGTACTACCACCGAGGATAATGGGGTCAGGTTTGAGGTATTTTTATAACAGCCGGTGCATTTTATGCAAAGATGCTGACAAAAAGACAACGAATGCTGCAACATTTTCTAAAATTTGAAATTTTGCAAAGCATTTACACTCTAAAATGAGATTTCAATCAAAATCACAAGTTACAGTGAATGTGAGTGAAAAAGGCATACGCCTCTTTACCTTAAGGTCCTGGTTATGCTGCTGCCGTTGCCCTTGAACGTTTTAGTGGGTGGCCAGCAAAATAAGCAAGCATTTATATTCTCACAAACAATTTAGGAATCATCTCTGTCAGACAGTGAATGACAGTAATCACAGGGTTTACTCCTGCCAAAATAATTTTGTATTGCACAGATAGATCTATGATTCAGACAGTGACAGACATTTCCAACATGGATCCTTTAAAAAAAAAGCAGACTAGACTTTGTCTGTTTGAAAATGTTCAAGAACTTTTTCCATGTAAGACACATAACAGATTTAATTTGTACAGTGGTAGAAGCATAAATTTTAGTAAAAGTAGCAAAACCAAAAGATAACAAAATACTCTGTTTACTTGTGGGAATAGTTCAGCATTTTGGGGAGTCGGTCAAGAATTGTGCTGCATTCATGTGTTGTTAGAATAATCCAAAAAATAACTTCCCAGCTCCTGCTCCTTTAAATTGGACGCAGAAATATGGCGGATGAAAGAAAATGTTTGGTTGACGATAAGAAACCGTTGATTAATGGTGCAAATTCATGTATTGCATAACAATTTTTTGTAATATGGTATTAGGTTGTAAGTGTTAGTTGCTGTCCATGAAGGTTGACCTTCATTAGTTAGAAAGTGATTTATTAGCAGTAACCTTAACAATATTTTAGTCGTTTCGGTGAATGCACTGGTGTATAAATAGCTCCATAGAAGAGAAATGGTTTGCAGACAGTTTTGAGAGAACACTAAATATATGTATTTTGAATAAACTGTGAACTTATTGTTCCAAATAATCTAACAGACTTGCCAGCTGAAATTTAGAGAGCATTAGCAAGACTGCTCGAAGAGCTTTTTTCTTTCTTCTAATAAAATATTTAATGTAAATTTTTTTTTAGTAAAGCTCTGTCATTTAATGACATGATGAACAATCCTGATAACAAAATGCCAGGAAGGAGAGCAAAACACAACAGAGAAAATAGGAAGAAGCTCAAAGAACCGCTGAGTGAGTAGCACTATCATGTTCCCGGCTGGTTAGCTTGTTTAAGGTCTGTGTTACGGGGCTAGCCTCTACCTCTGTGTACTGCACTTGTTACGGGGTGTCCTACAAGTGCAGTACACAGAGGCAGAGGCTAGGAGTTGGAACAAGGGATGATTTATTAACAAACTGATGTTATTTGTTGAGAAGGGGCAGCAGAGTCTTTGTGGCCAGAGGACAGCAGAGGCTGGGCGAGGAGGAAGCAGGGGAAAGGTTGAGGCTGAGCAGGGCAAGGCAGGGGAATTGGGAGAGGGAAGCCAGGCAGAGAGAGTCCAGAGAGCTGAGCTGATCCAGTGCGGT